TGCATGTGTGTATGTGTATGTATGTGTGTGTATATGTTTGTATGTGTGTATGTGTGTGTATGTATGTGTATGTATGTGTATGCATGTCTATGCATGTGTATGCATGTGTATGGATGTATTTGTATGGATGTTTGTGTATGGATGTATGTGTATGTGTATGTATGTGTATGTACGTGTATGTATGTGTATGTATGTGTATGTATGTGTATGTATGTCTATGCATGTGTATGTATGTATGTGTATGTATGTGGGTATGTGTGGATGTGTGGATGTGTGTATGTGTGTATGTGTGTATGTGTGTATGTGTGTATGTATGTGAATGTATGTGAATGTATGTGAATGTATGTGAATGTATGTGAATGTATGTGAATGTATGTGAATGTATGTGAATGTATGTGAATGTATGTGAATGTATGTGAATGTATGTGAATGTATGTGAATGTATGTGAATGTATGTGAATGCATGTGAATGTATGTGAATGTATGTGTATGCATGTGTATGCATGTGTATGCATGTGTATGTATGTGAATGTATGTGTATGTATGTGTATGTATGTGTATGTGTATGTAAGTATGTATGTATGTATGTATGGATGGATGTATGTATGTATGTATCTATGTATGTATATATATATATGTATGTATATATGTATGTATATGTGTATATATATATATACATATATATATATACGTATGTATATGCATGTATATGTATATATATGTATGTATATATATATGTGTTTGTGTATGTGTTTGTGTATGTGTATGTGTTTGTGTATGTGTTTGTGTATGCGTTTGTGTATGTGTTTGTGTATGTGTTTGCGTATGTATTTGTGTATGTGTATGTATATGTATGTATGTATTTATGTATGTATGTATTTATGTATGTATGTATGTTTATGTATGTATATGTATGTATATGTATGTTCATATATATATATATGTATGTATGTATGCATGCATGTATGTATGTATGTGTATGTATGTGTATGTATCTGTGTATGTATCTGTGTATGTATCTGTGTATGAATCTGTGTATGTATCTGTGTATGAATCTGTGTATGTATCTGTGTATGAATCTGTGTATGTATCTGTGTATGAATCTGTGTATGTATCTGTGTATGTATCTGTGTATGTATCTGTGTATGTATCTGTGTATGTATCTGTGTATGCATCTGTGTATGTATGGGTGTATGTATCTGTGTATGTATCTGTGTATGTATCTGTGTATGTATCTGTGTATGGGTATGTATCTGTATATGTGTATGTATCTGTATATGTATCTGTATATGTATCTGTATATGTATATGTATATGTGTATGTGTATGTATGTATGTATGTATGTATGTATGTATGTATGTATCTATCTATCTATGTTTATATCTATGTATATATCTATGTATATATATATGTATGTATGTATGTATGTATGTATCTATGTATCTATGTATCTATGTATGTATGTATGTATGTATGTATGTATGTATGTATGTACGGATCCCCCATGTTGATGCCTAAAATTTATAAAACCAGGCAGTTCAAGCACCAACCTGATCAAGTGCTCCATGAAGACTTTCAGCGACACGTCGTCGGTGATGACAACCTGGGAGCTGGCAGTGAGAAGAAATCTAAAGGATTCACAAGAGGCCATTTGGTGGGTATATCCCCTTACATAGTAGACCTTATATATGGTAGGTACCTCCAATTTAGGTTCCTGAAATGGCCACTGAATTCAAGTTCCAAAATTGACGCCATAGGGGAATGTTGTCTCAAGCCATAGGGGAAAATACCCCACTTCTTGTAATTGTCGAATGCAAAATATGATGATTGACCATTCATATGAACCGGTTCACAATGACATTAATGAATAATTCCTACAACCCCCAAGTATGAATGAAATCAAATGTTGGCATATTATGTGTATATATATATGTATACAAACAGTGTAGTGTATATATATACTATATACTGTATATATATACTATATACTATATATATATGTATACTGTATATATATATATGTGCGTCTGTCTATGCTGCCAGGCTGCCGAGGAGTCGGATTGACCCTGATACGGACCACCTGCACCGCCCGTGTTGTGCGTCTGTGAGGGATTCACCTGGTGGCTCCCGGCTTCCGTGGAGGGAAGGAGTTGGGGAACCTGAGGGTTATCCATATATCTATGTATCTATAAATATAAATATTTATATATATATATGATTATATGTATTATACAGATACATTATATATGCATATTACTATATAAATATACATATATCCATTTCAAGCAGTTGGGGAAGCAGATATTACCGAGTCCTATAATTATATTGTGTATATATATATATCGGTAGTTACTGACTTGAAGCCCTTTTGGGTTAACTTCCTACGACAAACCATCAACCAATACGGGGGTTCAAGCACTGCTCATTTTCTCGCTGACCCAGGAGCCCTGTCAACACCACTACATGCTGCAAATCCTGATGATGCAAAACATTAAATGCATTCTAGGATTTGCTCCATGGAACGCTGTCCATATTGAAATCTCTTGGTGCATGTGTACATATATATATATAATTATATATAATTATTTATATATATAGACGATGTTCAGATAAGTTTGGTTAGAAAACAGCACGCAAAGATACTCCCACCTCCATTTTCCCAGGATTTGTTCCAGCTTTATCAGCACTGAGCTTGCCGCAAAAACACATTAAACAAGTCTCGCCCCCCTCATCCTCAAACCCTATTCTTTGTGGGAAAATCCTTCAATACCCCTTGCCTTAGACGTCAGGAATCGCGCTTGCGACCCACCAGCGTTGGTTTGGATGAATTTTGGCACCTGACACTAGCCATTGGCCCGGCGCTTCTGTGGAGTTTCCTGTTTAAAAGTGTTGGATGACTTCTTGTTTGACCCTCACGCTACATGCAAGGTGAACACCCAATTCAATGTTCTGACTGGCCCCTGCGAGCTGTCCAACAACTCTCCGTCCACTGGCAACTAGTGGGCTCATCGCCCTCTCCCAGAGTTGGGTTTTGTAAGCGTTCGTGTACCCATGTTTTGCACTCTCAAGGCCAAAGGATCCTCATTTCATCTCTTCATCTCATTCCTTCTGAGCACCAAAACGAGGGAACGCAAACATCAAAAACACTAAGGCGCTCGGGTACGGCTCCAAACTATGGCCTCCCATTTGGTGATGGTTTGAGACCCCCATTGGCATCCCTGCTGGGAAGCGATCTGCCAGGATGTGCTTGGCATCCTCTGCAGGCGCCGTCAGTAGGGCCTGGTAGTGTGGCCAGTCGGGCAGTGCTTGGGCATATGATGGGTTGAGTTCCGAATGGGGATGCCATACCAGTTGGATGTCTGAAAATGGGTGAGAAATATGAAATATGTACATATTATTAAATATATATATATAATATGTATAATATATATATATATACACATAATGTGTATATATATATATATTATATTATATATATATATTATATTATATATATATACAGTACACTTATTAATGTACCGTAGATTACAAATTCAATTTGATTGTGCAATTTTACAGATTAACCATTGGAACTTTGAGTACCCCATTTCGAACGAAGCGTTTTGTAGTGGATTTCGAGGCAAAAAAAGGGTCCCCTCCAGCCTTGAAGTTGGCATACTCCTCCTTCTCCTTGGTCGCTTGGTCGCGTTTCCACTCAAACCCCAACGGCCCAACAAGCCTTGGTACTCCACTTGGGTTGCAAAGTCACTTATCTAAGAGATAAACAGCTCGACATTGACATGATGGCATCGTTTATACAAAAACCCTGACCGACCCACCCGCCTGATAGCCCGCATCATACCATGCCTGAATCATCTCACCTCAGTGGCTCACTTTGGACACTCAGATTTACAAGCCTCAGGCCCTCAAACTGAAATCCAGCCTCGAGTCTCTGCGTTTGCTGAATGCCATCCAGACTGACCTCCCACCAACCATGCTCATTTTGCGCCACGTGGCCACGCCAAATCACAACGTGGAAGAAGGAATCCAAGAGCAAAATCACATTGGGCCTTGGGATCAGCATTCCAGTCAGGTGAGGGGGGGAACCTCCAGCAGCAAAAGCCAATGGACCAACCATCAAATTACAGTAAGGCACCAAGACACCAATCAACCAAACAAGCCAATATTCTATCAACCAACCAAGCAAAAATAATCAAAAACGACCAAACCGCTCAAAAAAATCAACGCTAAGACCTCTTTTTCCAACCGCCTGCGTCTCGGCTCCTTTGGCCGCCCCGATGTTCAAGGCTCCCAAAGAGCGGCCGGCGCGCAAAGACCTTGGCCCGAGCAACCAGAAATCAATGGATGTCGAAGCAACCCGTGGGTTGTCTCCCTACCCACCAGTCCCACCAGTCATCGTTCTTCGGACCTTTCTTTTGGACTTGATCTCAACTCAGTGAAACCTTGGGGAGTTGCCGAACTGTGATCAACAGTACAAAAATCATCACATCGAGTGGCCCAAGATTCAGGAAATCACCATACAGTGGCATCGTGGGGGACAACCCAAGACAAACCAATTGTGAACTATAGTTTTTGTTAGCCATCTTGGATTACGTTATATAATATTCACAAACCATACCCAGTTGGGGTCTATTCTTTGGGCTTGCCAAATCACTCCAGATTGGAATCGGGGTTCCAAGATTTACAAGACCTGTCCTACAACATTTATTTCCCTATTACACCCCGTCGTCATATAATCTTGTTGTGGAATAAAAGTCTTTACTTCTGTACTTCACCTCCGAAAAACGATGTTTCAGTTGAGATGTGAACGAGATCCCAGTTTGATGATGATATGATATTGACCCGCATCAAATATAGTGATATCTCAAGATTTGGAAATTAAAAATCTTATGTTTGATCTGTTTGATTATCGCTTTCCCTGAAAATTGATATTGAGCGGCATATCCCCCCAGCCCATGAGGCCGGTAAGCCATGGTAAGCCAAGGCACCTGAGTTTTTGCCTACTTTTTCTCCAGTTGTCCCGTCCTGGCTGCCACCACCCACTCGGTGAGCCAGGTCAAATCCGTGGGATCTCGGCGCTTGGCTTCCTCCCAGTTGCCCGTACGCGCCACGCCATCCAAACACATGTAGCTGCCGTTGGGAAGAAGCCCCTGATCATCGAGGTAGGGCCTGAGGAAAGAGGAAAACTCGATCTGGTGGTGATTTCATGTTGGATTATTTTGGGCGGTCCAAGAAAAAAAACATTCAAATCATCAGCGGATTTTGAAGATCAGATTTTGAGAGTGGCTCAGATGATTGGGTAGCCAGTCCCAAATAGGCAAACTGTTCATGGCAATAATGGTGTTGCAGCCAGAGTCATGTGCTTTTGTCGCTCCAAGATTTGCTTTGAGAGCGGTCCAGGTGTCAACCTTTAGTAACGTCGATTCAATGGTTGATTGCGTCCAAAGGACCCACAAGGGTCCTCGTCCCCAGAATCCACATCTGGCTCTTCCTCCTTAGCCACCCGGCTGCAGCTGCGAAGCTCCAGCAGCTCCAGCGTCTTGTGCTTTGACAACAGGCAGAGCCGCAACAAAACCCATTCACCCAAAGCTTGTGCCCCCATCTCACCACGCCAAGTGGCATCATCTTCCTCAAGACGTTGAATCAGCACAGCCTCCCAAGTGGAGAAAAGGCAGGGAGTCTGTGATGTGTATGCAAAGCCCGGCCACTGCAATCTCTACTCTTTCTTGGATGCATTTCACGCGGCCACTACTGTCATTGACTCTCCAGAGCTATCATGGATCCTAAAAATCTTGGAAAAAATGGATCCTATGTGGCAAACAGTTGAAGGTTTCCTTCTAGCGGATAAAATCATCACTTCCACTGTGTTCCACTCCCTATTTCTCCGCCCTGGGCATCACTGGCGCCTTGCGACCTGTCACTGAGAGGCCACGGCTCTTTAACTGTTCCTGCACGAGTTTGTCACAAGAATGGGAGGGTCTTGCAGATATTCACTTCCCCAAAGCAAACCACAAGAACCACGGGATTTCGGGGATCCAAAAATGTTTGTAACCAACTTTTAAAAACCTATGACTATGACTCACTATGACCCCTTGGGTCCCTTCAGTCCCTTCGGTCCTTCAGATCTTTGACTGTTAGAGACTCATAGCCCATCGCTTTCAGCCTGTGCAGGTGCTAGTTGATACTGTGACCCATATTGGCCAACCTTGCACGCGCAAACCATGCAGGGTTGCCAACGGCCAAAGTAGGCTGTCCCCAGGTTTTGTGAGTTTCATGTTGTCCATCAATGACACTGCGCTTTGCACCACGCCTCACTCTTTCGAGCCGAACCTTGCTAGCTGCTTGTAATATGAAGCTCACTGACTGCTCCTGACATGTGCAGGCGAAGGGCTCAAACATGCTAAAATTATGTATCCTGCATCAGGAAAAGGGACGCGCCATTGCCAAATGGATAGAAAACCTATTTTAAAAAATGCTCCTTTTTAAACCTCCTCGTAATGCTTGATAAAAAGAATTCAAAGACCGAGTGAGGAGCTCCTGTAGAATTCCCAACCACAGCACCAGGGCAACCACGCGAGCGAAGCACTTTGCCATGGCGTGGAGGAAGCAGTTGATGGGTGAACGGCAGCTGTTAGCAAAGCCAACCTACAGGTCCTGGTGATGCCATGGGTGCCACCAATGGTGATGCTTGGTGATGTTATGACTGTTATGATGTCCTCCAATAGTACTAAATACATCTAAATACGATTGAAATTTTGCTGATTTCAAATGTGCTCGGCTTCAGCAAGCTGCATCGGCACCCAAGGCAACATGGCTATCCAACCGCAAGGCCCGGATGGCTCCACCGCGGCCCACCGTGGTCCCGCACTTCAGGGAGGTGGCATCCAACAGCACAGGTTGAGGCGGCCCCTCCTCGAATGAGTATTGCCTCGGCGGCTCGAAGTTTTTGGATCAAACCGGGCAGGGGGAACCCTGGTGGGGAAAAACGAACCAAAAATGACAAGGTGCATCAGTAAGAATCGGAAAAAATAGGACTGTATCAGTTGGAGGCTAAGAGGAAAAGACATTCCGGAGAAATCTGCCATATGCCACAGCGACTAGATGGTATCGGAAATGCTCATTTATCAAAAATGAATGGCTTGTTCCATCAGGAAACTCTAGCCATGCCTTCAGCTCCCCAAGGCCCTGGCAAAAGAGCGGGCTGGATCATAACCAGTGAGTTCATGGTGTTCTCACGCAGGATAAGCCTCAAGTGGCGCGCAAAAAAGCGACCGCATCCAATCTGCTTGACTTGGGCTACGGCATTCGATAGTAGGCCGTCTCATCCGGGCTCGCGTTGAAAGTTTGCAAAAAATTGCTGCGCCGCAAGTGATACCTCGCTGCTACATGGGTGTAGCTCAGGACAGTGACATGTTGGTTCAATGCTGATTGACAAATTCATCTGCAACAGGCTCCGAACTGGCCGAAAGAATCCAAGAGAGTCAAGAGACGCTTCCAGCATTAAGGCTGCATCAAACCAACATGTCCATTTATTTCAAAGATCCTTAAGGAACTTAAGGTATCCTAAGCTGATATGTGTGATACTGACTAAATCTACTAAATCTTTAGTTCTAGTTTAATTCTGGTTGCTCCCTTCGCTCCCTTAGTCACCAGCCCTGGAGCCCCCTGGAGCCCCCTGGAGCCCTCTGGACCCTTGGCACATGAACTGAGGGAAGATGGTCATCTCTGGGCCCAGGTGGAAACTGGATGGGTCATCCTGCCAGGCCCAGAGTTTTCACAGAGCTTTGGAAGGCCCGGATGAAATCTGGTGGAAACTCCAACCCTACAAACACATGAAGGGCAACAAGTTGCTTGGTGCAACCAAATCAAACACTAGATGTTCGGAGATTTAAATTTCTCAGTCGGAGTTTTGAAGCATAACACCTGTACCACGGAGGAAAACTCAGGAAAACCCACACACATGCCTACATCCACATCAAGGAATCAAGGTGCATCAAGGTCCATTCCCAAACAAGGCAGGTCGCTCCCCATGGCACACTTTGCTCAGCTCGCACAACATTGTGAAATTCGCAACTGACCAACTCTCCACCTTTCTCACAGGGATTTGTCCTGTCTCCAACACCAGAATTACTTTGAGTTCTGTAAATCCCTTGCAGCATCAAAGAATCCGGTGCTTCGCAAAACCACAAACCCAAAAGTCAAAGTTTCAAGTTTCAAGTGTTTTTTAAGTTCCAAAGAGAACATGACTTGGAATGGCGTTGAACGAGATTAGGAGGAGACATTGGATTTCACACTCACCTCCGAAGAACTCAGCAAGAGGAAAATAGTAGCAGGGCTGAGTTTCTGTATCCAAAACTTCCGGCGCGCTTTATCATGGCAAAGTTTTTGGGTGAAAGAAATTGATGCACAATTTGTCCTTCAACGGTTTCAATGCCAATTAGGTTGCCGACCAAGATTTCTCTCATGAGAACACCAACTTGCCACATGCGCGCAGTGCCCAATCTCTGTAATTATGGATTCACACACAACACATGTTGTATTTACACCAGCTCTGAAAATAGCCAAAGAGATCTCCAAAGAGATCTCCAAAGAGATCTCCAAAGAGATCCAAAAAGTCTAAAATGCCCGGAGGAAGTTTAGAAGTCAAACTTCCGACAATATGGACAGAGGAAAAACAGAGATGGGAAGAGTCAGAGAAGAGAAGAGAAGAGAAGAAGGAAGAGAAGAAGGAAGAGAAGAAGAAAGAGAAGAAGAAAGAGAAGAAGAAAGAGAAGAAGAAAGAGAAGAAGAAAGAGAAGAAGAAAGAGAAGAAGAAAGAGAAGAAGAAAGAGAAGAAGAAAGAGAAGAAGAAAGAAAGAGAAGAAGAAAGAGAAGAAGAAAGAGAAGAAGAAAGAGAAGAAGAAAGAGAAGAAGAAAGAGAAGAAGAAAGAGAAGAAGAAAGAGAAGAGAAGAAGAAAGAAAGAGAAGAAGAAAGAAAGAGAAGAAGAAAGAGAAGAAGAAAGAGAAGAGAAGAAGAAAGAAAAGAAAAGAGAAGAAGAAAGAAAAGAGAAGAGAAGAAGAAAGAAAAGAGAAGAGAAGAAGAAAGAAAAGAGAAGAGAAGAAGAAAGAAAAGAGAAGAGAAGAAGAAAGAAAAGAGAAGAGAAGAGAAGAGAAGAGAAGAAGAAAGAAAAGAGAAGAGAAGAGAAGAGAAGAGACGAGAGGAGAGGAGAGGAGAAGAGAAGAGACGAGAGGAGAGGAGAAGAGAAGAGAAGCGGAGAGGAGAAGAGAGGAGAGGAGAAGAGAAGAGAAGAGAAGAGACGAGACGAGACGAGACGAGACGAGAAGAGAAGAGAAGAGAAGAGAAGAGAAGAAGAAAGGATATCAAAAAGAGAAAGTCTCCGAAGAAAGAAGATCCAGGTGTGCGGAAAGGTAGGAAAGTCGCAAAGCACTGTGTTTTTCCAGTGCTTTGTGGCTCTGGAGGCCGAAAAGTAGGCTCGCTAAAGCGGAGGATGCGGAGCCAGCTGGCTAGATGAGAGATGAAAAATTTCACGCCGTTGTGGCGAGAAGCGCGTTTCCAAGTCAAAAGTGTTAATAACTGACGGGTTCAGAGCACTTTGGACGTTCAGATGTCGAAAAAGTGCACGCCGCTGTGGCGCGAAGCAGATTTCGAAGTCAAAATGTACAAAACACACCATGCTCGGACCACTTTTGGAAGTTGAGATGTCGGAAAAGTGAACGCCGTTGTGGCACGAAGCACATTCGAAGTCAACAGTGCAAAAAACTGAGGGGGACGGAGCACTTTTGGACGTTCAGATGTCGTTTCGCGTGGCAGGCGCAAGGGATTGTGCACCTTGTCAAAAGTGAGCTAACGTGAGGATTTTGTAGCAGTTTCAAAAACGACGGCAGGCGTGGGACATATGCAGAGGATCTGCAAAGATGCATTTCGCGTGGCAGGCGCAATACAAGAGACATTTTCGTCAGAGCTGTTAGGAGGTCCGGGCGCTGATTTCCTGAGAAGCGTTGCATTTTGGAGCATCAGATCTTCAGTTTTGGGAAGATGATTTTGCGTGACAGGTTCAGCACTTCATATGACCTGGCATCACTTTTTCGTGGCAGGCGCAGCACTTTAAACAGATGGAGTGGAAAAACCGCAAAACGCCGGTACGAGGCCGTCAGCTCTGCACTCAACTTTCCAGAATTGTCTTGTTGTTGACGTTGCCACGTTCAAAAATTGAGGAAGCCTCGCAGAATTGTTATTCGTTTTTGACAACTACAACTACAACAACCACTACCACTACCACTACACTACTACTACAGCTACTAATTCAAATAAACTATGCTACATTACACTACACTAATTACACTATACTACGATACACTACACTAATTACATCTAATTACACTACACTACACTAATTACACTACAACTACAACAACTACTACTAGCACAGTTACAACAACAATATCAACTACACCACATTACACTACACTGCACTAAATACACTGCAGCACACTACAACTACAAATACAGATGCAACTACTACATTGCACAACACCACTACGCTACACTAATTACACTACATTGCGCTACAACTACAACTGCAACTGCAACTACAATTGTAACTACACTACACCAGTTACACAACACCACACTACAACTACAACTACACTACATTACACTACACTAGCCTACACTACACTATACCACACTACAGTACACAACACTACAGCACACTACGATACAGTACACTACAATACACTACACTAATTACACCACACCACAACTACAACTGCAACTGCAGCTGCAACTACACTACACTTATTACACATTACAACTACAACTCCACTACACCACACCCTACAACTACAACTACAACTGCACTACACCACACTTCATCCAGCAGTTGTGGGTGAGGTGACCACTGCAACCACTGCAACCACTGCAACCACTCCAAAAAACACAACTTCAACCACCCTTCGGTCCATCAGTGGATTCGCTCTGCCATCTGTGATTCACAAGAACCAACCTCTCCTATAGGTTTCCGATTTTTGAAACTTCCGCCACCACCTTGCGCGGTACTACTGGTAAAATGTCTGCCACAGTTGTCATCCAGGTCTTGTCATTCAGAGCTGGTGTGAGTTCCAGGATCCATCCCGGTCTGCCGCATTCTTAGCGAAGCGTAGCACACCATGGGCGGAGTGAAGTCCTAACGATGTGATTTGCTCAACATCCACCTCTTTTGGGGTACTGCGTGGTGGAAGGATTTAGAAAACCAAGGGGGTCATCTGAAGGTCAAAGGATCCTTGGATTTTGCCTTGACGTTTCGCCGTTAGGTCATCTTTTTTCAGCTGGACCAAGAAAATGCAAAAGGGCAAGACTGGGGCAACTAGGAAAAGTGAAACCAGAAAACAGGTCGCAGCACTGAGTATACCATGATATACAAGGTTATCTAAGCAAATTAGTTACTTCTTCAGAAGGGAGAATTGCTCTAGGTGCTGAACCAAAGAATAGAACTCCAGTTGGAGATGGTGGTTTGTACCATCCATTTCTGGCAAATTTGAGGATTCTTTTGTTCTTGATCTTACCACCTTATCACATTCTCATATGTCCTGTGTCCCTGAATAAATCCACCCAACTGGATCTTGCGGGCTCCGTGTGCAAAAAAAAGCTTGTCGCAAATGGGACAAGTCTCAGGCAATCGGACCCGTCTCAGCTGTTTCTGTGGCCAAAAACATAGGGGAAACGCCAAGAAGAGCCTGTACTCGAGGAATATGATGACTTAAACGCGCTCGAGTTCCTGAGGTAGCCTCTGGTAGCATCAGGACCAGGAAACAAGCCACAGCAAACAAAGGCTAACATGCCCTGAAGTTTCCCAGACTCTCTTTATGCCTTAAAATGCCAGTTATTTTCTATGACTTTCCATCCATTCATTCGGGTGTGATTGCTCCCTTGATCAGTTTCTAGAGGTACCTCACTCGGACTCTCACGGAAGGTCATCGGAAGTGGGAAATCAATTTGAATCAACATCGCATAAGAGGCCAAAAGCAGAGGCCAGCTACTTGCGGCCCAAATGCTGCCGGCGGTTGATGTATGGTTAGTCCAAAGCTCGGCAGCTGAACCTTCCTTGAAATGTCCGAAAGTTGTGCTTTTCAGGAAGTAGAAATCTGCTGAAGCGGCTTTTGAATGCTTTTTGCATCTTATGATCTTGTAGTCCTGCACTAGGTTCAGCAGCTCAAGCTGGGAGTTGCCCAAAGGATTAACGGATGATTAATCATCCAAAGATTCATAAATCTGGCAGTCCTCTCAATACCCTTCAAGCTTTTTGCAGGCCTGCGACCCTCTAAGAATCAGTTTAACAAGATTCTTGTTGGAAGCGTCAAGAGTTCGATTGGGTGAGTGCCTCTGAATACTAGGCCAGCAGGCTGTCCCCGAAACGGATCACCACTGCAAGCCTGAAGGTTATTGGAATGTTGCCGATGGACTTGATTCCACTGGCGTCGGACCAGCGGAGGTGGCGGGTTTGGCAACTAGCGTACAGAGTTGCTCAGAGAGTCGTCTCAAAACAAACAGACTCCGTGGCAAGTTGATCTGCGAAGCTTGGCGAATGTTTTGTTCTGAATTCGAAATGAATTCGACCCCACAGGAGTCCAACCACCCGACATAGAAGTTTGAGAAACTCAGTGTAGTGCCAACCCGGACTTGAAACTTTGTGAGAAGAAACTGCTGAACCGTTAAGCTGAGGTCGCCTGCGCCGCACAAGATGACCCCATATGAAGGGACCCTGATTTGAAGATGGGGCGCAAGATCTAACCGAATCTAACCGCCCACCAAACCTGTGGATTGGTTCGACTGGCTGTTGATAGTGAGTTGAATATCATAACGCCCATCCTGCCTGGGTCCTTGGCGATCTGCATCAGGATTCGACGTGACACGTAAACCCAGTGATAGACTGGAGACACCGGGTTACCTGGAGTCACACGCCATAAATCATGGATACCCTGTTGTTGAGGAAAATGGTCATGTGCAAAATGATGTAGAGGACAAGGACCAGGGAGAGACCTTTGATGGGAGCGCAGTCTTGAAAAGGAAAAAAACACGTGGAACAAACAAAGTTTGAAGAGTAGATTTAAACCAGCAGGTTGTTCAGGTCGCCGCGCGCACAAACACTCAAAGAGGGTAACACTTTGGGCCTCATTCCTTCCATTTTTCGGGGAACTTGGACCCTCCACAATTCTTTTGGAGATGATTACCTGTTTTTTTGGACTTGCCCAACCTCCGCACGCCCCCAAACATGCAAAATAACTTGCACGCAAAGTTGCCGCCCCCACTACCGCCTTCTGACCTTGTGACACCTTGGAGTTTTCCACCTCTTTCGGATTCTGCCCTCTTCTCAATCTCTACTCTTCACGCCCCTTCTAGCCTTTCTCAGTTAAGCGGGGGCTCAATTTGGGGTCAACCTGGGTGAATTTGGCCCCACTTGGGAGCATTCGTCTTGCTTGAATATCTAAATTTCCCCCCGGGCCTCTCAACAGCTTCCTGCATTCATTTGGTCTCAATATCTAAACCTCTCACCTCGTCTCTCAACAACGTCCTGCATTCATTTGGTTTCAGTATCTAGACTAGACTTCCCCCCTAGTCTCTCAGCAGTTTCTGGCATGCATTTTGTTTCAATATCAACATTTCTCGTCATCCAGATTTCCCCCCTGGACCTCTCAAGAACTTCCTGCATTCAGTTTGTTAGTCATGTTTAGCGGAATCAGAAGCCTCTTATACATTTGCATGGCATTTGTAACATTTTGGCGCAACGATCTGCAATTCGCATGGTATTTGCCATTGCTACATGTTGACAAACGAAACATATCGAAACATGTTATCCTTGTGTTATTTAGTTGTTTTCAACCTTGATGATAGCACAATAGCAGCAGCACATTGCCTATTTTTGCGATTTCTTTAGGGTTGGTTTAGTGCTCATTTACTTGGGGCACAGTGGCACAACCGTGTTGGGCGCAAACAATTTCATTGGGTGTTGTCATAGTGTTGATTTAGGGTGTGGGTTGCATGTTATTTCGGTTTAGGGTTCATTTAGGGTTGGCTTAGGGTTCATTTAGGGTTGGTTTAGGGTCTAATTATTTGGGGTTTATTTGGGGTCTATTTAGGGTCGGGTCTGGAAAATTGTTTAGGGTTAGTTTGGGGTTTGATCAGGGTTTGTTTAGGGTTTGTTTGGATGGATCAGTGGTTATTTAGGGAAAACGAGATGTGCATATAAATAAATATAGACATGCATATATATATATATATGTGATGTATATTATCTGTAATATATGTGTATGTATTTATTTATTTATCTGTTTATTGATTTACTTGATTTTGTATAAATATGTATATTTATTTATTTGATCGCGTATAAATATATAGGGTCAAGGCTGGGGGTTCCCCGGAGCTTCCAGGAACCCTCAGTCTTGTCATGTACTATAAACGTCGTTATGGTATAGAGATGAGGGGTGTGGGGGTGGGGAGGGTGTAATAACGTCATGTGGACTGCGTTGGATTGAGACTTGTTGGCACCTTGAGGATGTTGCTTCGTTGAAGATGTTGTTACATTGCAAGTATCGTTGTTGTTTACAGAAGGGGGGGGGGGGGGGTGTAAAAACGTCATGTGCACTGCGTTGGATTGAGACTTGTTGAAACCTTGAGGATGTTGCTTCGTTGAAGATGTTGTTACGTTGCAAGTGTCGTTGTTGTTTACAGAAGGGGGGTGGGGTGTAATAACATCATGCGGACTGCGTTGGGTTGAGACCTGTTGAAACCTTGAGGATGTTGCTTCGTTGAAGATGTTGTTACGTTGCAAGTATCGTTGTTGTTTACAGAAGGGGGGGTGGGGGGGTGTAAAAACGTCATGTGGACTGCGTTGGATTGAGACCTGTTGAAACCTTGAGGATGTTGCTTCGTTGAAGATGTTGTTACGTTGCAAGTATCGTTGTTGTTTGCAGAGGGGGGTGTAATAACGTCATGTGGACGTGAAGATGAAAAAGGTGTAATGTTCATTTCGTCCATGGTTCTCCAGTGAATTATGACATTTTCTAGTTGTCAACAAAACGACCAAAAATGCATGAAACCGCAATTCCAATGGTTTCGATGTTGCACACATGTTTGGCCATCCATGGATGGAAGATGTGAATTTATCACTCTTCTGCGCGGACAAACGTCAAGTTTATCCGCGCCGACATTGCAACTTTTACTGATCGAACAATGTGAGAGAAGAGCATAAAACACTGTAAAACACAGTATAAAATCAACATTTTCCATATCCATACAAATAAAATGCAATTGGTTTCCGGGGAACTCCCAGCCTTTACCCAATATATATATATACATACATACATACATACATACATACATAACATAAATACATACATACATACATACATACCATCCATCCATCCATCCATCCATCCATCCATCCATACATACATACATACATACATAGTATATATATATATATATCACTATATCAATATCTATACATTCTATACATATCATATATATATACATATATATATATACATATATATATGTATATATATACATATATATGTGTGTGTGTGTGCGTGTAGGGTAGTGTATGTACAAGTGTGCAAGCTTGGATTCAAAAAAAAATGGAGAGGGCGGGATTGGGGGAGGGTGCAGCTCCCCAAGGCAGAATGACAATACCTGTACTCAGGTGGTCTTTGATGCACAACATGCATCTTGTGAACATATAGAAAGCAGGTTGAGGCAGAACCGTGTTGGGTATAAATAGTTTCGCTGGATCGTTGTCAAAGTGTTTCTATAAATTACTTTTTTGGATCTTGCCTGTCTTAAAGAACATTGTCATTGTCCTTTTGTTCTTTTAATTGATGTTTTACTTGTTGCTGCGCGATAGTTGCAGCATACTGCCAAGAAACACAAAAGCCAAAAAAACAAGAAACCCGCCCAAGAAAAAAGCTAAGAAACCACAAAGGGCAAGAAAAGCCACATAAGCCAAGAAACGAGACTGGAAAACAAAAATAACAAACAAATACAAAAAACACATACCCCTCAACTCCCCTGTGTGCAAAATAGGGCTGCGCGGCAAATATACATACTACAATATGCCTCTCCCCTTGTTTTCTCCCCGTTGGGATGCCAAAATTGGAAGTTGAACACCCACGGCCAAACAGATTGCTCCGGTTCCACACCTGCCCGCAATAGGACCTTTAGAGGCTGAAGACCAAGAAATTGTCTGGCGGCAAACCCTGAGCCACAAAGGGACAGGATCCGAACACTGGTTGGCCATCTTGCATGCGTTGTGGTTCAAAAGGCCAAAAGGCCCTCTGGTGCGAATGTTTTTCGAAATCAGGATCGCAAAATGGTGAAGAGCTTCACAACAAAAACCAACCATACTTCCAATGAATGTAAATGGATTGAACCCCAAGAGTGCCCACCCTGAAATTCCATGAAACTCTTTCAAACAAGCAGCCAGCTAGGGCTCACCAGCCCCAAACTGCCAAGATTTCTCCGTTTGAACCCCATGAGGCATTACAAACCGCCCATCAGCTGGTGACATGACACCTATCCATGCCTTCTGAGTAGCTTAGCCCCTGGCAGGAGGAGGTCGAGCAGCCTTTATGTTTTGTGCCTGGCTTTGAAAGTTTCCAGCTGATGATCCGATTGGTAAAGTACCAATAATATCAATAATGACTCCTACCGTACTACCCATATACTGAGATCTTTCCCAAAATGATCTGTCGATTGTTTCAGGGATAGGTGGAAGGGGAAAGCAAGCAGCAGCCTTGAGGCTCGCCGCCTCCATTTGCAGTTTAATTACATTGGTGACCTGCCAGCTGAAGATAGCGAACTCTGCATGTCACAGCATACAGGGCATAGGATGGGGCGGATGGGGTCAGAAAATTTAGGACCTTCAAACCATGAGATTTCCCAAAGTACACCGTTACGACCGTGTGACCATGCCCCAGCCTTGTCAGGAATGGGCGCTTGAAAGAGCTCCATTACCTTCACGTAATCCTCGCTGCCAAAAACCCTTAAATGTGTCGGTCAAAAGTGTGAGCCCTATTAGCACCATCTAAGTGGTCAATGTCAGGAAAAAAAACTGGATCTTTTTCTAGCTTTGCCGTCTATTGATCATCCAACCAGTCGGAAAGGGGCATTGATTCGGAAAGGGACATTGCTTATGGATCAACACCTGTGGTCAGCATGAAAACAGCTTCATCTTCCCAAGATGTGGTAAAGTAATTAGGTTCTGACCCATCCCCACTTATGTGTCTCCCCATGTTTAAAAGCCTGTGTCAACCAGCACAACCGCTGTGGTGCTATGCCCAACATCCTCCAGCGGCACCGGCAGGCCCTTCAAGATCAGCAAACACATGGACGCAGACAGCGATGCCCTGGTGCAGGCCACGCGACCCAAAGAATTTGACAAAACATAGGACGAATTGAAAAACAGAGGGAAAACCGGGAAAACCCCATAGAAAAACCAATGGAAAAGCCCATGGAACACAAAAATCAACGACCTGCTGATGGGATCTGTGGCCGGAGGTTGGGGAGTGGTTGATAGCCGAGCCCCAAGCCCAGTTTCGGGGTCGTCGCCCTGAAGAATGGCTTGCGTCACCTCTGACGGTTCTGACGGTTGGGATGCTTGGGTGGTGATTTACCAAAAAAAACAAAAGGGCTGGAGTGCCAGTCGCCAACACCCCAGAGCTTGGCTTGTGAAGGTGCCATGCTGCAAATGATGGTCCCCTGTCCGCATAAACCTCTGATTAAACTCTAGATCCGCGTCAGCCTGTGCAAAAGTTGTCCTCTCCAACTTTGCTTCAGTTTCTATTCAATCTGGAAACAGTGGCACATACCTTTTCATCGTCGATCCAGCCAAGTTGCTGCATCAGGCTGGCAATTCTCTTTCAACATTCTCACCAGCCAATCCTCAGCACAAGATCACTGCCCTTTGGCCCATTAGATCATAAACATTGCAAATCTGAGGTACCTTGCGAGAATCATAAATGGTGGCTAGGCTGGACATCACATTACATTATATTATACACATAACGGATATATAATACGTATTTGATGTATATTTTATTATATACATATATATATATACAGAGAGAGAGACATACTGTATGTATATATATATAATATAGTTATATGTATAATAATATAGTTATATTTAATAGTTATATATAATATAGTTATATATATAATATATAATATATAGTTATATATATAATATAGTTATATATTATATAGTTATATAGTTATATAGTTATATAGTTATATAGTTATATATAATATAATTATATATAATATATTTATATAGTTATATATATATAATATAATTATATATATAATATAATTATATATATAATATATAGTTGCATATATTATATATAGTTATATATAATATATAGCTTTATATATAATATATAGTTTTATATATAATATATAGTTATATAATGTTATATATACAATATATAGTTATATAATATATAATATATAATTATATATAATATATAGTTCTATATAATATATAGTTGTATATATAATATATAGTTATATAAGTTATATGTGTATCCAATTTATGGCAAGCAATCACAGCATTCCTCATTAAACTTCCTTCACCACTTGGTGAATAACCCTTAGTAAAGCCGAGACGCCAAAGCCTGGTGAACCGAACCTGGGGATCCCTCTTGTGGAAAACATGTAGAAAACCATGACCCACTTTAGTCACTATATGTCACCCTATATGGATTGGAGAATGTGGAGAATGTCGAGAATGTGGAGAATGTGGAGAATGTGGAGAATGTGGAGAATGATGATGATCACATACTCAGGGTTTGATCATTGGGGTTTTACCATGTTTTACCATGTTTCACTATGTTTTACCCATGAAAAGGTCACTGTCAAAGGCACCCCTAAATCGAACGCCCGACATATCCGACATGGTTTTCAACGTGTCGGAAATACCTGCGCGCAAAAATGCACTTGCCATGCAGTTGTAGGTGATGGTGCTTGGAGTATGACCTCAGAACAGGTTTTCTTGGAGCCCCCTCACACTGGAACGGCCTCCACCATCTCCAAAAAGGAACGCAACCCTGGACCGCTAAAGACTGCATGGTCCTACCCACCGAGAAAATGCCTTGCACTCTCCTTGTGTATGTTCATCGCTGTTTGTGATCAAGATTACTGTAATCACTTTATGTTCCATGACCATGACACCAACTGCAAATTGAATTAAGCCCAGCAGCCATTGGACAACAGTGCGGAGAACCAGGACTTCGCGGCATTCACATCCCCACGAACAGCACATGCGCGGAGCAAACCTCGGTTGAGACAGTCGGATGATTCCTGGGACTTGTTCAACAAATTGCTGTAATTTCATGGATAAAAAATTCGAGAAAGGGCAATCCTTCGACTACGAACTTGTCGAAAGACATTTCAAAAGCCCCTTGCTCTCAGCAGTTTCTTCCAGGCGACAATTGTAGCACATGAGGTTTGGTGCGAAACCATGATTTGCCATCTCCTGGTCACAATGGTGTACTCAAACAGTCAACCGGCAGATTCTCATCAGGTACCGTGTCCTGGATCCAGTAGGCAGCCTGCAGGAAAGGAGAGGATAGCACCATGGTGCAATGTAAACGTCCAATGGCAGGTGCAGGCACCACAATGCTGCCACTCTCGCCTTCTCGACCGATCCAGCTTTAGCACAGGAATTGATAATGGTACTGAAAGTGATTCGGTCCTAGGCAGTCCGCATCATGATATCCTGCTGTTCCCAATGTGTGTTGAAAAATCAGTAGTTGAAGCCGCTAAGCCCCTGTGCCGGGCGGAAGCCCATAGAAGTCATCTGCCTTGGGGTTCAAGGGGGAAAGGTCAGTCATTGCATGGAGGTGTTGGATTGTCAACTAGCTGTGTTGGTCAACCCGATCAAAGAACATCAAACTAAAAAATCAAAACTGTAGGATCCTACATCCAGCATTTTTGCCGAGGAGCGCATACCAGAGCTCGGCACGTTGCGGATGCCCATTGCGCCCGCAAGCATGCATCAGGCCTGACTCAAGCCATCGATGGGGATGAACCCCCAGTGATGGGGGTGCAGCCACTTTTTTGGTATCACAGCACCCAGGACGGGTTGGATGTCAGCGGATGGTTTCACGGCAAGAATGCCTGGTTAAGGGGGTGTTTTTTTGTGAGACCGTTGGATTCAGGCAAGCAATGAGGCTCTGAGCCCCAGAAATTCTCTCACGTGGTGTGTGCGTCGGACTAGGTGCTCCAGCTGTTGTAAGTCTTGTCATCTGGCTTCACCCCAGCCTGGCGGGTAAAGTTGAGACATTGCGGGAGAACCATGGACTTGAGTCGAGCTTCATTTTGGGGCTACTCTCTGGCAATCAAACCTGGCAGTGGAACATTCCCCGTTTGAAAATGAGTTGCATGAAATCTAATATATAATTATAGGGCATTTCCCATTGCCATGTTTGATTTATGTTTGATTTTTAGAAGCTAATCTGCCGGAAAAAACTGTGTACGACGTGCACCTTTCTCTTTCGTCAAGCCACCTGAAGCATACGTTCCAGCCAGTGGTCTGCACGATCGATGTCACCAGCTTTGGCGCCTCAGTTTTTTTCAAGCTCATATCTCTTGGACGTCTTGGAATGTTAGTTACAACCCACTGATAAACCATCCCCAATACAGGTCTCTTACATAAATATTCAGAGAGGTTGCTTTGAATGTGGTTTTTGAAATCGCCGAAAGCGGCCACTTGCGGCCACTTGCGGCCACTCGCTGGGAGCGGCCACTTGCGGCCACTTGCCGTCACTCGCTGGGAGCGGCCACTTGCGGCCTCTTGCGGCCACTCGCGGCCACTTGCTGGGAGCGGCCACTTGCGGCCACTTGCGGCCACTTGCCCTAGCGGCCACTTGCGGCCACTTGCGGCCACTCGAGTGGCTGCAAGTGGCTGCAAGTGGCTGCAGGTGGCTGCAAGTGGCTGCAGGTGGCTGCAAGTGGCTGCAAGTGGCCGCTCCCAGCGAGTGACGGCAAGTGGTGGCCGCACATACAATGGAATGTAGGTGGTGACTTTGGCGTGTCACACCCATTGCCCAGTAAATATATCCCCCTGCACATTTACCAGGTCACGTCAGGGCAACCATTTTGTAAGGGACCCAGCAGTTAACCTTACAAACATCCATGGTTAGGGGTTTACAAAATGGGTTGGGCACGAGGCTTGGTGTGATTCCCCAGCAAACAGCGGTGAACCCAAAAAAAACAAAAAATCGGCGCCTTACAAAATGGTTGCCCCAAGTTGGTTTCCAGGCCCCAAACCCAATCATCTTATAAGCTTGTGTCTTGAAAAATTGTTTGTTTGGAAATATGTCTTACTTGTACATGTCCAACTTTCCCCAGGAAACCCCGCAATCTTTTTTCCCACCAGTCCCCGAAGCTTCGGCAGCACCCATCTTCACGAGGCTTCCTTCCTTCCTTCCTTCCTAAAAGTTTTAGAGAAGAAACCCTAGTTCCTGGGCATGGCCAAGATTTCAATACCCTCCTTTGCACTGCCTGAAATGAACCCAAAATAGCTTTATGAAATGATTGGTCCCGACGTCATTTTGTAAAGAATGTTGGCTCTTACAAAATGATTCGCCCAACAAAAAACACGCTTTTTACAAAATGGCATGGTTGACCAGAAAAATGTCCTTACAAAATGCCTCCGTTTGTTAGAAAAATGCCCCTGGAATGAAACATGGGTCAAGCCATTTCATAGTGGAAATGTACACAGGGATGTAAATATGCAATTGCTTCGACTGACGGATGTAGATGTCTGCTGCAAATCTCCAGCTTCTGCAGCGTTGGCTCGAAAACTGTTGCCCCTCCAAGATGGTGACTTCTGTCTTGTGGAGGGCCCACACAGTGGTGGCCTCGCCGTCTCCGAAACGTCGGGCGACTAGCATGGCTAGCGCCATTGGCGCTTGCCTACGGAGCTGAGGAGGCTTACAGTGGGTGAGTAATGCTGTTTGTTTCAATGTGGAATAATTTTGTTTTCACTCGTCTTGTGAGACCCGTTTCGTTTTCTTCTTCATTTTCCTGTAACCATTCTTCTCCGACTTCCTTCCTCGATCTTTTTCCTCGGCGTTGACCTTTCATTTTTTCCAGTGCAAACTTGACTGAATAGCATGTGAGCATGAATCAAACACTTGTTTTTCAATCAAGAAGTGCAGGCAAACTTGCAGGTCCATGTCATTCGCAACGGTCTGTTCAAAATGTGTGTCTGGATTAGGTTGGGTGTACCTACTAATCAGCATTTCATCATGAGTCGCGGCAAATCTATCTGTGTTTGGAAGGAGCTAGGCACTAAGAGTGATGCAGCACTTGCAGTGAATCTAGAAAGGACGGTGGCAACGGTAAACCCCAAAGCTCTGCCTCCAGTTTGGGTTGTCATGCGTTGCCACCACGGGTATTCCGAGCACCGTTCCTGATAAGGTCACTGCATCCACCAGCGGTTGCTGCGCCCACACAAGGTCAGGAAAGTGAACATCAGGTGGCGGTGGAGGCGGTCGCCGATCTCCTGGGTACACAATGTTTTTATTGCAGGTGCGGTTGGTTGGTAAAAGTCAGTGTCACTCATTCAAGACTGGTCCGTTTTTTTTGTAGCATACATGGCGATGAACGTACTGTACAAACAAATGGTTTGGTGCGCTTTCACAGGATCACACTGTCACATGTGTGCTTTCACATGAAGCCTTTGATTTTATCATATGGCCTTTCGGAGGAGATCAAAAGAGGAGCTGTCACCGAGACTTTTCTAGAGAGCTTTGATGTTGGATTCCTCCAGAGATCTTTTACAAAGACCTTATAGAAGGTCTTCTTTTAGAGCTTTTCTTGAAAAAAATGATGCAACTGTGGTTTTGGTTTTGGTGTTTTCCTCTCTATTGGATTCTCTTGACAAATAGGTACAGCATGGCTAAGAAGAGGGCTGATTCATGACTGACAATTGTCTGGGCGCAATCATGTTTGTAGCTTATGTTTAGCTAGGTTTCGAGATTGACCATCTGCCGTTCTCTGCGCGAGCATGTCGGTCCAGTGTGCTTCGTTGCTGAAGAATTCAGCGACAGCAACCAGCTTGTCATCCTCCTTCGTCACGTTGGCTATCATGTCGGAATACGCTTGGAGCCCGGTGTCCGTGAGCCCGCTTCCTTGCCACAGCTCCTGGGTCAGACACCACGTTTTTTCATGACACCTTGCCTTAAAAGACAACCATTGTCTCCAAGGGTCTGTGTAAGGCATGGTGTCTGGATGAGGTAATGTGTAAAGCATGGTGTCTTGATCAAAGAGGCATGGTGTCTGGATCATGCAGGCATCTGGATGGAGTTCGTATTTCAACGAAGTATTCGACATGCGGCCAAGGTTCAGCTCTTGGCAACTCATTCATCAGATGCCGCCACTCAGCGCTGATGGTGGGGGGGCGAGGAAACCCGTTCACCAGATGCAACTCTTGGCCAGCTCTTGAAAGAGCTACTGCCAACTTGCCAACATCTAAGAGGCTGCCCACAGGGGTCTCTTCGTGAGCGCACCCTCAGCTGCCAGGAATGAGTGAGCAAGCAATCAGTCAGTTAGCCAGTTAGTCTGTCACCTAACTAGGCAGCGATCCGTTCAATCAGTTAGTTCACTTGTCAGTCGGCCAGTGAGTTCGGCAGTCAGTCTGCGGTCTATGAGTCATTCAATCTGCCAAGCCTTCATCTAAAACTCAACTCAAACATCCGAACCCCTGGTTGGAACGTCTATCACAGCTTTCGTGCTGCGTTGCTAGAGTCCGAATGCATTTTGGGAAGAAAGACTTTTTAGGCTGCAGCTAAAGCGAATATCTTTGTGTCCACATTCCGATACATGCTGTGTAGCAATTACTTATTGTACACGATTGAGAAGTTGGCACAGTTGGCAGTAAGAATTTCCTTGAAGGATTATCCCAGTAGTACCCGCACGAGGCGGGGCGGAAGTTGCCTTAAAGATATATATCAGACCTTTCTCATCTATAGAACTTGCATGCGCCGTGCGCCAGCCAAGCCCGTGCGCACTCTGCGAAAGTGGTGTCCTGTTGCACATGTCACATTTGAAGCTCCACTTCGCACTTCACACTTCTCACTGCAGTCTTCACACTACACACTGCACTCTTCACACTGCACCCTTGGCAGTCAACACTTCACACTCCACACTCCACACTTCACAGTCCACACTTCACACTTCTCACTTCTCACTGCTTCCTTCACACTCCAAATTTCACACTTCACACTCCACACTTCACACTTCACACTGCACTCTTCGCACTGCAAACTTCACACTTCACACTTCACACTTCAAGGTCCACACTTCTCACTTCTCACTTCTCACTGCTTCCTTCACACTCCAAACTTCACACTTCACACTGCACTCTTCACGCCCCACACTTCACACTGCACTCTTCACACTCCACACTTCATCTTATCCCAGCTCATCTCTTCTCACCTTATTCCAGCTCATCTCTTCTCATAGAGAAAATAGAGAAAATTTGCTAACAAATTAACAAATCCATTTCGCAGCCTTCATGCAGCCACTCCAATACGATTTACGAGATCCAGCTGCAAAAGACAATAGTATTACGCATGCAGCCACAGCACGAAGCAACCTTGACGCAGCCATTCCAATGCGATCTACAATGACTGAGCTGCAAAACACAATAGAACTACGCGCAACGACGTCGGAAACTGCAGCTCCAAAACCGGATCTCGACGCCAAAGCGAAAAAAGGACGATTTTGAAGCACTTTTTAAAAGGATTTTTAAAAGGAAAATCACTAGCGCCAAAATGGCGAAAATCTGCTAACAAATCCATTTCGCAGCCTTCATGCAGCCACTCCAATACGATTTACGAGATCCAGCTGCAAAAGACAATAGTATTACGCACAGCACGAAGCAACCTTGACGCAGCCATTACAATGCGATCTACAGTGACTCAGTTGCAAAACACAATAGAACTACGCGCAACGGCGTCGGAAACTGCAGCTCCAACCAGCTTAGGTTGAGAGGCCTCATAGGACCCCAAACCCAAAGTGTCGCTTAGGACCCCCAAGCGGCCACATAGGACCCTTGGCTTGGTTGAGGTATCACCTGGTTTAGCTATGCATCATATTTCGTACCCACGGTCAACCATGCCACCCTGCATCCCCCAAGATCCTTTCAAAAAACAATGTGGAAACCCAATAATCCATCAGCAAACACATCTATACCATGCATGACCGCGGAGAAATGCTACTGTGCAAACATATTAAAGCAGGGAAAACGAGGATTAGGCAAAGTTGGCGCCTTTGGATAATTCCCGTGCTTTTAATCTTGCTTTGCCCCGGTTTTTCTGACTTCAGCGAGCATATAGTATATCATTTGAATCGTCTCAAAGCCCGTTGCAAACGCAAAGCTCAGCAACGAACATGCCGTTCGCAATTTGTATTGATTAGGAGCGCGTTTCGTCCGAAGGTTTTGTGTCTCAACATATACATATATGTTGATATAGCCAACAAAAACTTGTGCTACTTGACTTGGCAGGGGGGACCCTTGACCGAGGGGAAAAGAAGCCATGCGGTCGCTTCCTTGCTCCTCTTTGATGTTTTGGGAACAATAAGACATGGCCTAAGTGCAAATTTGATTTCGCGCTTATTGTTGTCAGATCTAAAAGTTATTTCAATCGGCGGGCAATGAGCAAATTCAGGTTGTTAGCCTTGGCCTTTGTCTTCCTGCAGGGCGCTTCTAGGTCCTTACGTTAAAATAGTCATCTCCGCGATGCGTCAAAACACGGCGGTATAACACGCCACGACATGCCGCGCCATGACGTGCCATGACACGACATGCCACGACACGCCACGACACGCACGACACGCCACGACATGCCACGACACGCTGCGACACGCCACGACACGCACGACACGACACGCCACGACACGCACGACACGCACGACACGCCACAACACGCCACGACACGCCGGCGCGACACGCCACGACCCGCCACGACACGCCGGCGCGACACGCCACGACACGCTGCGACACGCCACGACACGCCGGCGGGACACGCGACGACACGCCGGCGCGACACGCCACGACACGCCAGGACACGCCACGACACGCCACGACACGCCACGACACGACATTCTGCGACACGAATTGGCATGTTGCAGCACTATAGCTGCACAGGGTTTTTTAATGTACGGCATGCCGCGTCGTGCAAGGACGCATGCACCAAATATTTCTTAGAATTCTTGGGGTATATCTCGGCAGGGGATGGATTGACCAAAAAAAAGCAGGGACGCATGATTACGCATCAATCCAGCTAAGGGTGTCAGCTCTTAATTATGTTTAATTATAAGAGGGAGAATTTAGCGTTGCAGTGCCGTGTTATTTTGTAGTTTCGGCTGTAGGAAAGTAGTTCACCCCAAGTATATACCCATCTGTGGGAAGTCGCGGGCGATATTTAGACTCACCGGGGCATTGCTTGTCGTCATGCGGCGTGTCATATCGCAGGCGCGATTATTTTTCAAAAAAAAATGCGCCCGGAAGTGCGCGTGTCAAAGCGTGTCGTAGCGTGTCAAAGGACACATGGGACCCCCAAAGCGCGTGTCATAGCGTGTCGTGGCGTGTCGTGGCCGCGCTCCTTTTTTTCTTCTCTTCCATTTGTTACTTCCTTTCTTTCGCATAAACTCTTATGTCCTGATCGTTCAGTGTTTCCTTCCGTTTCAACGCTTCCTTTCTATTTGTTGCGTCTGTGCCTTCGTATCAACTCTTTGTCTTGCTCGTTTAGCTCTCTCTTCCTTTCTATTCGTTGCGTCTGCGCCTACGTCTTTCTTTCGTTTCAATTCTTCCCTTCCATTTATTACTTCCTTTCTTTCGCATAAACTCTTATGTCCTGATCGTTCAGTGTTTCCTTCCGTTTCAACTCTTCCTTTCTATTTGTTGCGTCTGTGCCTTCGTATCAACTCTTTTGTCTTGCTCGTTTAGCTCTCTCTTCCTTTCTATTCGTTGCGTCTGCGCCTACGTCTTTCTTTCGTTTCAATTCTTCCCTTCCATTTGTTACTTCCTTTCTTTCGCATAAACTCTTATGTCCTGATCGTTCAGTGTTTCCTTCCGTTTCAACTCTTCCTTTCTATTCGTTGCGTTTGTGCCTTCGTATCAACTCTTTTGTCTTGCTCGTTTAGCTCTTCCTTTCCTTTCAATTCGTCCATTTCGTTGCATCCATCCTTTCGTTTAAACTCTTCCTTCCTATTTGTTATTTCTTTCCTTTCGTTTCAACTCCCACCTCACGTTTCAAAGAAAACTTGAAAAAATCCAGTTCGCGAGAAAAGCATTTTTTTTCAAGTTTTCAAGGGTGGGGCCATTCGGGCTGGTATTTGCCGTCCAAGCAGCCACTTGCGGCCACTTGCGGCCACTTGCGGCCACTTGCCCCAGCGGCCACTTGCGGCCACTTGCGGCCACTTGCGGCCACTTGCGGCCACTTGCGGCCACTTGCGGCCACTTGCGGCCACTTGCGGCCACTCGAGTGGCTGCAAGTGGCTGCAAGTGGCTGCAAGTGGCTGCAAGTGGCTGCAAGTGGCTGCAAGTGGTTGCAAGTGGCTGCAAGTGGCTGCAAGTGGTTGCAAGTGGCTACAAATGATGCACGTGACGCTGCTTTGTGGCCACTCGCTGGGAGCGGCCACTTGCGGCCACTTGCGGTGTCTTGCTCGTTTAGCTCTCTCTTCCTTTCTATTCGTTGCGTCTGCGCCTACGTCTTTCTTTCGTTTCAATTCTTCCCTTCCATTTATTACTTCCTTTCTTTCGCATAAACTCTTATGTCCTGATCGTTCAGTGTTTCCTTCCGTTTCAACTCTTCCTTTCTATTTGTTGCGTCTGTGCCTTCGTATCAACTCTTTTGTCTTGCTCGTTTAGCTCTCTCTTCCTTTCTATTCGTTGCGTCTGCGCCTACGTCTTTCTTTCGTTTCAATTCTTCCCTTCCATTTGTTACTTCCTTTCTTTCGCATAAACTCTTATGTCCTGATCGTTCAGTGTTCCCTTCCGTTTCAACTCTTCCTTTCTATTCGTTGCGTTTGTGCCTTCGTATCAACTCTTTTGTCTTGCTCGTTTAGCTCTTCCTTTCCTTTCAATTCGTCCATTTTGTTGCATCCATCCTTTCGTTTAAACTCTTCCTTCCTATTTGTTATTTCTTTCCTTTCGTTTCAACTCCCACCTCACGTTTCAAAGAAAACTTGAAAAAAATCCAGTTCGCGAGAAAAGCATTTTTTTTCAAGTTTTCAAGGGTGGGGCCATTCGGGCTGGTATTTGCCGTCCAAGCAGCCACTTGCGGCCACTTGCGGCCACTTGCGGCCACTTGCCCCAGCGGCCACTTGCGGCTGCAAGTGGCTGCAAGTGGCTGCAAGTGGCTGCAAGTGGCTGCAAGTGGCTGCAAGTGGCTGCAAGTGGTTGCAAGTGGCTGCAAGTGGCTGCAAGTGGTTGCAAGTGGCTACATATGATGCACGTGACGCTGCTTTGTGGCCACTCGCTGGGAGCGGCCACTTGCGGCCACTTGCGGCCACTTGCCCTAGCGGCCACTTGCGGCCACTTGCGGCCACTCGAGTGGCTGCAAGTGGCTGCAAGTGGCTGCTTTTTTGAATTTCAAATACCGCTGGTTTTGCAACCTCAATGTAAATATTGATAAACCATCCCCACTAGAGGTCTCGTATGCGGTTGGTTAATGGGATGGTTTCTTCCACTAATATAGTGGTGCAACTGATCAGGCTGTTGGATTTGGAATCCTCAAAATGAACCTGTTCATCTGCATATCCCTAGGTCCTTTTTTTAACCCACCCCATATTGTTGATTTTAGAGGTACCATTCTATCATGTTCTATCCCATGGTATCCATAAGATCGTTGGTGATTTGTATATTCATCCAGCACTATTTAGAATATCTTAGACCAGAGATAAACTCCTCACAGAAATCAGCAGGTCAGCAGTCACATCCAAAATGTCTCAGGATGAGACAGGCATTGATCATGCTGTTGTAGACCACAGAGTCTGCCTCCTCTTTAGATTCCTGGAGCCAAGGGATGGCTTCAACCAGATCGATACCAGCATAAGCATGTGAAAAAAGTATGAAAAATGTGTAAGGCACCATGACTCACCCGAACCAGTTCTCTCCCTTCACTCAAGCCACCAAGACCACCAGCGACCACAATTGATTGATATCCTCCATGCGGCGAAACCAGGCTTCTGCATCTTCTAAATCCTCAGAGTGTCGCCGACCGGTCCCTGCAGTTGTTCGCCTTTTACGTTTGCAGAACCTGACGGAACATATTGTCCCGATGTTGTCCCAATCCTGAGCCACACTTCCCCCTTGCAGCTGAACAACGCTTGAGAAAGGACTAGGACGTTCGTCGTTCTCTGAGGAGAAGTCGGAGAGAAATATCCAGATGTCATTTTTATGTCATCATATTTCGATAGGATTCACTAAGTGCATCCCCAACATCAGCCAGAACCTCGCCACCGCCATCTCGGCTGCGCACGCCAATCTTGGCAAAAGCACTGATGACGGCGGTGAACGACACAGTGCAAGGCTTAATCCCTGGCGATGGGATCGATGGGTCGTTTGGATGTGGCTTGGTACAGTATATCTTAGGATATGTTGGGATGGATTGGGATAGAACGATAGAACCCAGTTACGTTTCAACATGGCTTAAAACCACTGGCAAACTGGGATACACATCCAAGTATGTGGTGCAGATGGTGGGAGCGTCCGGGAGGATGTCTGAGGCACCATTGACTCTTGAAAGCACTGGAAATTTTAGCCACAGCAGAGGTGCCACAAACGTTCTCCAACCATAGAAGCAAGTGCTGCTCGTTTGTGGCTGCCAACCTTTAAAGGGTTTCCAACCGATTAGTAAATTTCATGATGGTGTATGGTTTCTGTTCTCATCTGATCAGTACCAGGTCAGTACCGGTCCTTGGTCCATCATCTGCAACATCCACTTCTCTGCTCCAGCTGCATCGCGCATCTGGCCAAGTTGCACAACTTTTCGCAGATCATCTGCGACATTCTTTGTCGATTCAATGCTGATACCCTTATGAACATCATTGAACATCCCTGGAGACCACAAATTGACCAAATGAAATTGAAATGTTCACCTGCCCATGGGGGGTGGTTATGTTATGACCCTGTAGATTCAATGATGGTCACTGGGATCCCTTCCAAACTTCGGAGTTGGCAGCGATTTCCCGAACCTTCGCGCATGAGCTGATGAGGATGTTGTAGGTGATGCGATTTGGTTTAATGCCACTGGCCATCATCACATCCCACCTGAGACGAGGTCACGGTCAGGGATGAGGCCTTCATTGGGGGGCCACTTTCTCTCCGGGGGGGAACAACAGCTCTAAAACAGCTCGAAGTTCACAGCACATCTGCTTTTCTTCCAAGCTCCCAGACCATGAGCGTGCAAGATCCAGATCACCTAAAAAACGTAGAACGACAGTAGCGCTCAGAGCATTCCTTTCCAATCTTTCCATGACTTCAGAGATGAAGGATGCATTCCCCAGAACATACCGCAACAAGCCATGACATAGCTATACGATGCTATACGACAAATCAAAACACGTTCCCAGGTGCACGGACCATTCTTAAAGCACGACCCAATCATGCAGTTGAAAGTCACGACCTCAATCGCAAAGGCTCAGTGTGTTGAGCATTGACCATTTAAGCTGTGTCTGAGAATATAGTCTTTCACGTCTTTCACATTCACAGTGACCAGACTCTACGTCATTGAATCTGTACCAGATTGTACTTCATTGAATCTGTAATATGCGTTCTGAATTTATCAATCTGCCCGAGGTTGTGCTTCCACAAATAAAATGCGTGAGCATCAATGGATTTCCATGTAAAAGTAAACTCTTCACACATAGTCTAGCTAGCTGGTGCAGGTGCTCGCTCTGCTGGTGGCTGTTGTGATGTTGATAATAGGTGGAGCTGAGAAACATGAGACGCAACAAAATCAACAAGCCTGATGGATATCTGAGGGGGGAACGCCAAGATGCCGGACATGCATAGAAATGGCATCCAATCGAACGGACCAAAGTCCAAAACAATTTACTTCAAGTAGTTTTGAAAAATTGTTTTAAACCCTCTTGCCCCACCACCCTATCCTCAGCTTCGCAGCATTGGCTTTCAGGCCAGACTTCTCCATGCGAGTGGCGAACCAACGCGCTGCCTTGGCCGGAAGCGGCGGACACCATTACCCTGATTGCCCTGATCGCCCCGATCGCCCACCTCGGGATTCTCCAACTTGGTTTGGCAGGCATGGATGATCCAATGGTAGAAGGCCTTGCACAGGCTTCGCAGGGTGGCTAGGATGTCCGCCTAGGATTACCCAGCTTGGAACATGGCAATAAAGGTGACGTAACCAACGAAGCAGGGGACATGAGAACGGAAATTGTAGATGCTGGAAGTGTGAAGACTGCACATGCCCTGATACGCAAGCAGCGTCCTTTTGCTCGACCTCTTGCGTGAATCTCAGTTGTGTCAGTGCAAGGGGAGCTCATACGCTACTTCAAATGATGCTACTGTGAGGCTACGTCTCAAAATGATCAATGCAAGACAATGCAACATTTATGGAAATATGTGAAACGCCTTGGATTTTGAGACATCTCCCAGGTATTTCAATCTATACACCCTCCACGGTGATCTTGACCATCTTCACCGGGTCTTGAGGACAGTCCCTGGCGTCAGTGGGCACTTTGGAGATCTTCTCGATCAAATCATATCCCTCCACCACCTTGCCAAAGACTGGATGTGCTGATGGGGTACTGCGATCGAACCAGTTCAGGAAGCTGTTGTTGTTCACATTGATGAAGAATTGTGAGCCGCCAGAGTTGGGTGCCCCGGTATTCGCCATGGACAAAGTGCCTGGCTCATTTCCCAACTGCGCTGTGAACTCATCCTCGATGTTGCCACCTGCATCGCGGAAGGCCTGGCGATGCGGAAGCTACGGAGAATGGAGGCTGGCTAGCTACGAAACTAGGGTCACAAAATAGTGATGACCTACATTGTATATATATATACTGTATATGTATATATATACACATATATATATACATATATATACATATATATATATACATATATATATATACATATATATATATATATACATATATAATCATACAAATATAATGCATAATAACAGGTTCCTTCTAAAGTCTTTCTCTGTACTCAGCCGCCTTCCGGCCTTCCGAGAACCATCCAGGATCTCAAAGCTTCCTTCAGTGGGACCGCCGGTTCCAGCACGTGGACTTTTTGGGTCCTTGGCATACCTCCAGCGCCCAGGTCACGGTCATCCCTTCTTTTCAGACACGGCATCAAAAGATATCCGTAGGTGTCCGTCGATGTCCGTAGGTATCCGTAGGTATCACCGAAAAAATGAGGAAACAAATGAAATTAGGAGCCAAGCAAAGGAAGGAAGACGGACATCCAAACTGGCACATGAAGTTTGGGATCACCCGGTGAAAATGAATACCATCGTAGAAGCCAGTCTTCGCCAGATCGATCCAATTTGATGCTGTCAAGGGCATCTGGTCCAAAAAGAGCTCAACCTGCCAGCGTCTCGCTGGCGTCTGAAAGCAGGGATCTATACGTCGTATACGTAGGAGAAATGCCAGATTGACAAACACACACACACTGTGGGATGATGGAATCAAATAATCGAAAATTATTTATAGCATCCGGTCTGATTGCCTTCTTCGATCATGTTGGAAGGCATCATAAGGATACGTAAAGAGGCTCTGCAGCAGGCCAAGATTGGCAATATCTCTGGGAAGTGTCCAATACAGCTGGCATACCATATTTGTTTGTCACATTCTCCCACTCAAAGGATTTTGCCAAAGATTCAAGTGGACGATAATCCTGAGCTTCCCAAAACCAGAATCGCAGAATAATATACACCAGAATATCTAGACCATCTATACTAGACAGTTACTAGTTACATCTAGTTACTGTACATCTAGTAACATCTAGTTACTAGATGTTACTACTGTTACTAATGTTACTAATGTTACTAATGTTATCTCCTCGGTGAAAGCAGCCCTTTTCGTCATTTCTCTCGGCCTTGAAGGTGCCCATGCTCGTTTCACAGGTGGCCACTGGGTTGGCACAACAGGCGACCGGACTCGCAGCGCGGCCACGCTTCCTTTGGCGCCGTGCAAAGGTGGACGCAGCTCCTGGGGAGAGAACTTCCTCAGATTCCTACTGTCATCGTCATCTAAGCATCATCCAATCATCCAATCATCCAATCATCCATTTGCCAATTCAAAGTTGTTGCCCATATTAGCATAAAACTAGCATCGCTGCTCAAGAAGGGGAGCAGAATTCGACAGAAGTGCCATATCAAATGCGTACATATATATAATAATATATATATACATAATATGAAGAAGGTGTTGACATTCTTGTGTGTGTGTGTGATAGCGCGCAAAAAGCAAGCTATCATCACAGTCGTGGCATTAGTCGCAATCATCGGCGGACATGCACATCAGCACCTGCCATCATCTCGTTCATCGAGGCATTCCCAAGTATCCCCCCACCCAGCTTGGTGGCCTGCGGCAAGCGCACCGAGCGCCAGCTGTAGTGCAAGGCCGGACTGCGCTGACCCGCAGCGACCGCCCACTGGCTGCGAAGCGCTTTGGGGGCACCTCACTGGAATGAGGTCAGCTCAATCTTCTCTGGGTGGCCGGAAACTGAGATAGCGGGAGGCCTAAATGGACCGGCTTTCACATCCTGAGATATTGGAAAGCAACTGTGGCGTTTGTTCATCAGCGTAAAGGCTTTCATTGACGACCAGTGACATGGCAGGTCTGCAGCCTGCAGAGGCAAATGCGCAGCTAGTTGTTCAAAAGAACAGATATGGCATGAAAATTGTGAACCCATTTATTATATTTCATTACTAGCTGATTACTAGCTCAACTACCAGATATGAGTTGAATTGAGTTGGCTTCTCCGCTCAGACTTTTCCACAATTGCAACCACTTTCATCCCAGTGCCACCAGCCGCCAAGGGGCTTCAGCTGATTGCCAAGGCTACTCACTGTAGCCGTCTTCGGGAAAGACACGAATGAAGTCATCTGGGACGCGGCTAAGATGGCCCAACTTCCAGGTTCCAAAATTGCAGATCGTTGAACCCAAACGGCTGTGACCACAGGGAGAGCGCTTGAAAAAGCAACGAAAAAAGTATGGAAAAAACATGGCTTTTGTCTGATAGGCAGACTGAAAACATCATTTGTTCCAGCTTCCCCCTTTCACATCCACCATTTCTGGGGGATGAAGGCTGATGAAGGTTCCAAGAGAAAGCTCTCTGTGGACTCAGGAACCCCTGGTTAAGCATCAACTTCAGCTCTGCACCTTGGTGGCATGCTGCTTGTTCGACTCCTGGAAAAGCCAGGGCTCAACGGCTCAACCTTTGAATCAGGGGATTTCCCTTACACCAGATCGAACAGAGTGAAAATTCATCACTCTGTATCTCGGTCCAAAGGAGACGAAAAGAAACAACCGACTGAACCCACTGAGGAACCACATGAAACAATCCTGAAAAGTACAAGAGAGAGAATTGAAACAAAGATGGCAAGTTCCGCACCTCACTGAGGAAGGTCTCAACGTCGTCCATGTTCCCTTTGCTTACAAGGTCCAATACCTTGGTGTTTCGCTGTCACTGATGAATATGGTTTCCCGTCGCCGTCAGCTGGGATTCCAACTGGGGCCACCAGCCAGTCCTGGACAGGATACCGCCTCTCATGGTTTGAATTTCAGCCAACCCACCAAACCATCAACCAGCCATCAACCACAACATAGATGATTAGTGATTACAGGTGAAATTCCCATTTTATCCCAATAGATTGTATCAACCCATAAATAGATAGATCATAAAAAGGTGCCCCAATTCACAGCAACCCATGACGCCGGCTCCGCCAGTCCTGCTTGCCGGAACTGTCCTAAGCTTCCCGGAGGGTCGTCTCCAGTTCACGCCAAACATATTTTGTTTGCCCCCTTTGCGCCGTTTGCGTAACTTAATTCAATGCAAACATATAGTCATGATACAGTCTATGATTGTATCATATAGTATACTATGATTCTATATGGACAATTCCCCATGGATGTTTTACTAAAAAAGTGATCACCTTTTGCGGCCATCATCCAGGGCCGCCGGCCGAGGGAGTTGCACGCATTGCAGCTCGGCGATTTCCAGGACGGGTGGTCTGCCGACGGCAGGTAACCCACAAAGAGATAGAACAGTTGGAAACTTGGAAAGGATAGTGGGAAGCTTATCTATCATGGAAAGACTGTCCTATCTGTTTGGGGTTTACTTTAAGGTCTTGCACCCAAAATATGCGTTTAACCATGTACAACTAACAAAACATTAGGAACACCGTCCATGATCCATGGTACGGGGATGATCGGGTCGGCACAAGAGTTGGATCAACTGGACCCACAATCGGCCCACTGGCCACTGGATGTGTTGCTTTGTATCGAGCATGTCCAGTGGCCCTGGACCGCACTATATCAAACTATATCACATATCTAGAATTTCTAGAATCTATAGCTACATCTATAGCTACATCTATATATACAGTATCTATATTGTACATATTGTACGTATATCTATAACAAGCTCTCTGGGATCCTCAGCACATTACAACTGCACCTTCTGAGAAGCGAAATGGGATCCTGGCTGGCTGATCCAGACACACAAAACAACACAAAACAATCACCATCTATTTCTTAAAGCATTGAAGGATGGGACCAGGAGCATCAGGACCAGTTGGGGACCATCAGCCACTGGCTTTTGGAATATGTTGGATATTTGTTGGATGATGTTGGATGTTTGGGACTGCATGGTGACAGCAGAAAGTCAAGCACCTATATCACCTGATGGAAGCGGCTCATCTTTGTCTCCATGGTTCTCCAATCTTGTGAGTGACTCTCCCGGCAGAAACTAATAGACTCTATAGACCAATGAACTTGGGTTCATATTCCCTCCATTTGTCCATACATCTCACTTCAAAGTGGGGTTTTTTCACCATCTCAGATGCAAATCTTAGGAATCAGTAGATGCTAGGAATCCGTGTAGCTGGCGATGTCCTTCAAGAATCACCATCCCACCTTTCCAGCCTCAGCCAGTAGATATACAAACAGTCACTGAGATCAACAGGTAGAAGTTGATGCCATGGATGCCCGGGATGGTGCACCATTCCATTTCAACTTGACTCAATGCCACATGAAAACGTACAAAGACAAGAAAAGGCATGTCACAAGCACAGAGTGATGTCCGCAATCCCCAACAGTTGGACATCATGTACCGACCCCTGCCGTGTTTTCGGCCAGACCCTTCAGAAGAACCACCCGGAAAAAAAAAAAACGCAACTGGGACATCCAACGATCCAACGTTCGATTCTCGGTCGAAGCGAACAACAGTTTTGCTCTGAAACCTGGGCAAACTGGCGATCAGTGACCCAGATTGATCCACAAGTTTAGTCATTGTTGAGATGTGTTTATATTACAGTACATTTCGCACACTTTGTAAGTACACTCATCCAATTCAGGGTTTGAATACTTTTGAGTGCAACCAACTTGTCATTCCTATTCTATCCACAGCCACAGCACACCCTCTGCTAAAACCACACCATGTGAACCCCTCGTGGCGACCATCCAAAGGCTCTGACCAGCAGTCATGAAGAACGGGGAATGCTTGAGCCGCCAAGCGTCAGGCAAAGCTGTTGGGAATGTTGGGATGTACTCAAACTGACACAAAGGGACTGGGACTCTTGGTGATTCTGTTTTGGTTCAAGGTGAAGCAAATATATGCCATGGTATGGTAAACCTTTGCGCCATCTCCATGGCCCAGATGACCAGCTCCCACTTCCACCAAGGCCTTTCGGAAGTTGGCAAACTTCGAAACGAGACCTTGGATCACGGCAAGCAGAACATCGCTGGCACACCTGATACGCTTCGAAACGGAACAGTAAGTTTATGTAAGTTTGGCCATACTTGCTACCTTTGAAGGGGATCAACAATTTTGAATACTGTAGAATGTGTGCGGATGGATCCCACCCTTTCAAGGGGGTATGCTTAAAGGCGTATGAACATGTACAAACCTCGCATGTCTGAGAGAGAAAGACTATCTGACTTTTGGTGGCTCGTCGCCAAGCATCATCGCTTTCGCAACCACCCAGCCTAAATAATTGTGCCCTCAAATGCAGGGTACCCCCATATCAACCAAGCATCGAATGAGCATCCGGTCAACCCACCGAAGCACGTCCAAAGGGTCCTTCAAACCCAAGCCATTCGACCAAACCTCCAAACCTCCAATCATCCGATGGCAGAAGATCGACCACTTAAGATCTTCCGTCTCCTCGTTCTCGCACTTAAAGACGGCGTAGCGAGCCATGAGCACAGCCGCGGCCTCCTGATCAAAGCCTTCAGGCCCACTGCTTGAGATGAACCAAAAAAACTGAAGGCTTGCAGATTTCAAGGTCTGGAAGCTATGCATCATATATCATATTATATTATTTATTATTGTTGTATCATAATATTAATTATATATAATTATATCGTCACCGTACTCCTGAAAATGAAAGCAGACTGGCTAAAGTGACTAGTTACTCAACGAATGGCAGCCGCCACTACCACTAGGGCTGCCATCATGACCCCATGACCTACCTGGCTGAATGTCAGTCATCTGAGCATCCGAAAAGCGATGGGACCTCAATGGCCATGAGAGTCCTATAGCTGCACCATTGAAAGCCACCGGAGATGGAGACATCTGTGATATTCTGATTTTTGTCATTCCTGAAGGGACATTGACATCTTCCACCATCTATTACATTGGGTGTGCTCCAAGGATACCGCTTTTGGCCACGGGAACCCTCCATCTTGGCGGCCCTGCACCGTGGTCACTCGCAGCCGTTTCCTGCCAGATGGATGCAGGTAGCAAGTCTGAAACCTCAGTGGCAACTGGCTCTGGTGACTCTTGGAAGCATGGATGGACAATGGATGATAGGGATACCCTCTGGTAATCTAAGGTAGCAATGGGAAAATGCCCATGATTCGTAGATATTCGTAGGTAAATTCAGAAATTCATCTACAAATCGGGAAATTCCATGGCTATGTGAAAGCACAATATGGTTCACCAACACATGGGGTGTAACGGTGCAACCATCAACTTTGGGCGTTTAACATGTTTAGCCACTAACAACTTCAACAAAATATGATGGTATAAAACCGACAATGCTATGGAGATCATGGGACATCCTGTATAATTAACCAATTAGATGGGTTGGTCGGATTTATCCTGTTGTATGGCCATCATTTTCTGGGACGGAATGGGGTTCCATATATTGAGACAACCCCAAATTTATGGATTTTTGAGTACAGATTGGAATCGTGAAGAAAGCTGCATCCTATCAAGACCTTACGACTGGGCCTCCGGCTGCAAAAAGGCTTGCTTCCCCTGCGGGACCGAATTGGCCTCCGACTGGTGGCTAGATGTGGCTAGAGGCCGGTTTTTCTGGCGCTGTGATTCTTGAGGGACACCACAGCTAAACTTCCAATCTCAAATACCTCAATGGATTACTCAATCTGAACAGCTCGCAGCTAGGGGACCAAAAAAGGACTCCACGATACTCCACGGCACCTGCTGGTTGGCAATGTCAAAATAGAAACCGATGGTTGTGTTCCGGTCCAGGGATCCCACGACCTCGCCGATTCGCTGAGTGTTTCCACTGTTTCCACTCTGCCATGCGATGCGATGCGATGCGAGGCGTCCGAATCTGGCGGAAGTCTGGGCAGCCAGACCCATTGGCAAGTGTTTCCCTCGCCAATCTCTGTCTCTGCCACGCAGGGGCCCTTTTTGCCCAAGGACCTGGGGACAGGATGTCTTGAAAATCTTGAAAATCCAGCTTCTCAAAACCCGAAAAGCAATGACTAGTGCTATCAGTCCCCAATCCACCTGACCCATATACCATGACCCACCCCAAGGTGCATACGACAAACCGCCCACTGCGCCGCAGCATTTGAACTCCCTGGAGGTGAAGACCTCCGAGACAGGTTTGATGCATCCCAATCCCAGCAAGCAAGCAACATGCTCAGCATCGAACTTCAACCTCCACTCAATGGATTGGTTTAAGGGAAAATCTACAGGAAACCATGGTTTTTACTATCAAATATAGGGCTTTACTGTAAATTTTCCCATCATCCAATTCTATGATCCACGTTTCATCTAGCCCCAGAAGTACTGCGGTACTGCGTTGGCCCCATCAATATTGGCAATACAATCTGCACATCGTCCATCTGGTTTGTCAAACTCGGTCCAGCTCCAATCTGCTCCATAACAAACCACCAACAGGCTGCCTCAATCTTGGCGTTGAAGCCCAACTTCAAGTATCCGGTCTGGCCAGGTTCATCAATCCGCCATGTGTGTCATGTGTTTGGTGTTCATAGAAATTTCAGATGTCAGGGCTGTCAGGGGGATTCACCACTTGTGAAGGTTCCAAGAGTCGCTCAAGTTCCGGGAAACTCAGCACCTCGTCCGGCTCGAAAACCTTTCTGAAAGAGTCCTGATCGCAGGACTGGCTTAGCCAACATGCGGAGTCTGGAAATCTTGGAGACCCATCCTTTGACGGTTCAAGGTGGCACGGTGTAACGCTCTGGGGTTGGGGGAATGAATGGTTTGCATCCTCGACACATTCCTACCTGTGCAAAGTGCTGTCTTCTGATTTGCACCCAATAGCCTGTGCCGATCCCTGACCCATGCCTTGAAGACATGCATACTGAATGAATCGCTCATGACCTCAAGGACCAGCTCTGCCAAGAAATCTGCAACCTCTTAGACTCTAAGCTAAGTTCAGGGTGCTCTGGCCTGGGACTGGGCTGGGGCACCCCATTGGGCTCCCAAGCCATGAACCCACCGGTCTTGTCCGAGATGACCTTCATCTCATAGAGACCGACCTTTCTCCGTGCTCAGCTAAGAGTTGGTGATAGGCTTGGGATGTTTCTGGAACACCCTTGAGGATTCCAAAACCAGATTAGTTTCCCCAGCATGTATACCATTGCAACCCTTTATAATCCTGTAAAACTGTATAAGAACTGTATATATATATATAATTTATACTTTATAATGATAGAAAATTGAGTGGTTTTAAGTTTTAAGACCCAAAGTTAACGTTCTAGCACAAATCATGGAAAAACAAATCCCATGGGACGTCATTGCCCGACTCTCACCACAAATTGTGCCCGGACCTGGTCCAAAGAGCAAGCGAAGATATCCACTGCGAAGCCACAAGCGACGGCCTCAGGGACATCCGAAGGTCAAAGTTATGGCAGTCAAAGCATTAAATTTGGCAAATTCAAACTTAAGAAGGTTCCAATGAGCTGAGGGAGCTGGGAGACAGGAACCCTTCCCCGCTTGGTCTCCCAGACCCTTGAGGCCAGCGAGGCATAGAATTTCAGCGCTTTTTTCGTATACTTTGCCTTGGCCATACCAACACAGGAGATTCAGAGGAAAACTGGTGCAGCCAATTCATCTGGCCGGGACTTAGGTCTCCCAGGCACACAAAATGTTATGGCGTCACGAAGCTTATCCCTGCAAGACTTGAAATATCTTGAAATAGTCCTGAAAAATCTGATATTTCAAGCAGATTATCCTGAAAAATTATTGAAATTTTCTTGAAAAATCTGCTTGTCCCAGGCTTCCCAGCATTTGGCGTCTCCTTCTGGAGGTCCAGATGAGATCGAATTGTCTCGGCCAGCTCCTTGGGGCCGATGGATTTTTTCTGTCTGGTGGTCATCTGTCGGAGAAAAAACGAGACCTGAGCATCCCGAGCTTTGTCTTTGTGAAGAAATGGAAACCATCCCGGAAAATTCAGCATTTCTATGCATTTCTTGCTTCTCCAAAGCTGCTATCTTCAAACCTTCTGTTTGAGCCTACGAGTAAATTCAGCTATCCCACGCCACAAACCTCCCATCCGTCCTCGCCAACCACCATGCCAGGGCCAACGTTGCAGGGCCCTCCCACCAGCAGGGAGACACGAACCTTGGGGTCAATTCGCCCCTTCAGTGCACAATTGGTGAGAGGGGGCATGTATGAACTCTGCATTGGGCTTCATTACCTACTCTTAGTCCGGGGATTCAACTGGCAAAGAAGTACAGTATAACCTTCAATGACGGAATGCACGGCTCAGTTGCAGTTGAATCAGTGGGACTTCCTCCCTCATTCGAAAGGGAATGGTATGCAACGAACCATCCTTGCCACTTTCAATCCAATATCATGCTTGCCTCCTTTCTACTGCATCTAAGAAAGGCAACATCAAGAAGACTACGTGACTCATGTCCACAAGCAACCATCAGAAATGCTATCTCGGCCATGGTCAAGGCTCAGTTCGATCAATTTAGCTTGGAATCACAGGGTCTGAATGCCTCATGTGAACCAATGGTCAATTCACATCTCTGCCAATTCCAAATCCACAGACACCATGGAGTTGAGACCCGACCAAAGTTTATGGGCTCAACATTTGTCGAGAGTTTTGAGTTTCCACAATTTTTGCTCTGGATGTGTTTTTCGTGCACAAAGTACACATTACACATGTTGGGAAAGGTGAAATGTTTATATAAAATGCACGGCTCAGTTGCAGTTGAATCAGTGGGACTTCCTCCCTCATTCGAAAGGGAATGGTATGCAACGAACCATCCTTGCCACTTTCAATCCAATATCATGCTTGCCTCCTTTCTACTGCATCTAAGAAAGGCAACATCAAGAAGACTACGTGACTCATGTCCACAAGCAACCATCAGAAACGCTATCTCGGCCATGGTCAAGGCTCAGTTCGATCAATTTAGCTTGGAATCACAGGGTCTGAATGCCTCATGTGAACCAATGGTCAATTCACATCTCTGCCAATTCCAAATCCACAGACACCATGGAGTTGAGACCCGACCAAAGTTTATGGGCTCAACATTTGTCGAGAGTTTTGAGTTTCCACAATTTTTGCTCTGGATGTGTTTTTCGTGCACAAAGTACACATTACACATGTTGGGAAAGGTGAAATGTTTAGATAAAATGCACGGCTCAGTTGCAGTTGAATCAGTGGGACTTCCTCCCTCATTCGAAAGGGAATGGTATGCAACGAACCATCCTTGCCACTTTCAATCCAATATCATGCTTGCCTCCTTTCTACTGCATCTAAGAAAGGCAACATCAAGAAGACTACGTGACTCATGTCCACAAGCAACCATCAGAAACGCTATCTTGGCCATGGTCAAGGCTCAGTTCGATCAATTTAGCTTGGAATCACAGGGTCTGAATGCCTCATGTGAACCAATGGTCAATTCACATCTCTGCCAATTCCAAATCCACAGACACCATGGAGTTGAGACCCGACCAAAGCTTATGGGCTCAAGCATTTGTCGAGAGTTTTGGGTTTCCACAATTTTTGCTCTGGATGTGTTTTTCGTGCACAAAGTACACATTACACATGTTGGGAAAGGTGAAATGTTTAAAATGCACGGCTCAGTTGCAGTTGAATCAGTGGGACTTCCTCCCTCATTCGAAAGGGAATGGTATGCAACGAACCATCCTTGCCACTTTCAATCCAATATCATCATGCTTGCCTCCTTTCTACTGCATCTAAGAAAGGCAACATCAAGAAGGCTATCTTGGCCATGGTCAAGGCTCAGTTCGATCAATTTAGCTTGGAATCACAGGGTCTGAATGCCTCATGTGAACCAATGGTCAATTCACATCTCTGCCAATTCCAAATCCACAGACACCATGGAGTTGAGACCCGACCAAAGTTTATGGGCTCAACATTTGTCGAGAGTTTTGAGTTTCCACAATTTTTGCTCTGGATGTGTTTTTCGTGCACAAAGTACACATTACACATGTTGGGAAAGGTGAAATGTTTAGATAAAATGCACGGCTCAGTTGCAGTTGAATCAGTGGGACTTCCTCCCTCATTCGAAAGGGAATGGTATGCAACAAACCATCCTTGCCGCGTTGAATTTCTGGATTTGCTGCTTCGCTCGATTTTTCATTGTCTTATTTGGGATAAACTTTGCCAGCTATCCCAGCGCCTCTTCCTTTCGGCTTAGCATCTGCAAACAGGGCGTCGCTTCAGTGGTGGCTGCCCTTTTTGGGCTAGAAGCCTCACTGACAAATATGTCAAGGCCTGAAGCTTGGGCCCTCGGGGCCCCGCCCAGGAATAAGTTTTCCGCTTCTCTCACTTCTCTGACAAAGACAGATTGTCATTAATCACGGCCATTTTTGGGAAGTCCACAAACATGTTGACGTTGTTGGCAGGGAAGGAGCTGCCGGACTGTTAAAACCTCACTAGAAACTGCAGAACACAAGCAGGTTGGAGACTGAACACATCAGAATTCAAGACACATCAGCATCCAGTGCTAGTGGGCTTGCAAGCTGGAGGATGTAAAGGATGCATGGCAAGTCTTCAGTCAGTGCCAACTCCACCTGCGGCTCTGAGATATTTGCCATCCTACCCTCCTTTTAAAGGCTGGGTCAGGCAGCTTGAAAACAGAAAGATGGAAAGATTGTTCGACAGGTGTCGCCCACCTGGAACAGTCCTGAATTTTTTACAGGCCACAAACGGTGGCAGCTTCAGCCACTCTGAATGAGTCTGGGAATCTGCTCCGGCAGAATCACCTCCTGGCTCACGGCCCCGGCACGGTCGGCATACTCCACGCAAACAGCTCCAGCCACCGCCGCAGCAAGGCCGCCCAGGCTCAAACCGACCTGGGGAGCACTGGATGGCGGGGAGAGACAGAGGGTTTCGGAGGGTTTCGGAGGATGCATTGGGTGCATCGTTTTAACATGTTTTAACCAACTGACCCAGCACTTCGAACCACTGAAATCAATGAAGTGCCCTATTTGACCGCATGACGAGACACGAAATGGGCAGGCACCCATTCTTCGCCATGAAGAAGCCGGATCTGGCCGGTCATTGGGAGGAATCCCTGCAAACCTGGCAGAGGGACAGGGACAGCATCCTGGGAGTATTACGAGCCGCTCTACTTTTTCAATGGCCGAGTTCCTCCTTGTTTTTACCAGCACCATGTTGACTGTGGTGAGAATTGCAACAGAGAAGTGAATGAACCTGATATCACATCACAATGCTTCATGCTATGGTACAAAAATGATCGAAAGTTACTCATTCTCGTGTGAGTTGCAACTCGTGCCACCAAGGTGCTGGACCCTCTCTTGGGATGTGTTTCCAACAACTCTCATGCAAGCAAATGAACTGTAGAACTGCTCTCAACTCTACTGGAATACTGGGAAAGCTAGAGTGGTCCAAGTATGGATTCCCTTCCATTCCCATTTGCAAGGTGCAAAACTACGGAGGCATGGCTGCACGGATTTGTGCCAAAGCAGTCGGAAGATGTACTTAAAGTAACCAAAGAAAAACCATCTCTGCCTGTCTGGTCCCATCAACCAACCCCTCTGAGCAGCTGGAGGCACCTGCTTTACTGCCGGCTGTGGTATCAGGTTCAGCTGGAGTGGCCTCATGTCCGTCATGGGGGGGCCAGGGCAGTCTGTCAAAACTTGAAATCTCCCCGTATGGCCCACACGGGACTGCTTGTCTCTGTATCACATTATCCAGTCTTTGGTTCAGTTTTGGCCCATACCCCAATAATCTAGTCGTGTCTCAATGAGTAGTGAGAGGTACATCTCACTGTCTTACAGTCTTTCAGCTCAATTTCCAAGGCCCGCAATCAGCAGTTCTCCAAAAGGAACATGGCCCACCAGCCTCCATCCTTTTACTGTAGCAACTGTCAGTCCATAGTTGCACGTATATCCAAATATTGAGGTCTCAACCCTCCCATTAATCAATGATATTATATTGTCACCCGACTTCCTGCATCCATCTGGATTTGTTTGCAAATGGGGCACCCCCGATTCCATCAAATTATCAGTATCCATCAGAAAATTCACATGGTGGGGATATTCCAATATCATCTAAGATCATCTAAGTATCATCTATTGTTGGGGATATTCTAATATCATCTAAGATCTCTATATATATCTCTATGTCTTGACACCGCTCCATCTGCATCCTGCTCCAAGGTCTCCAAGATCTCCAAGCGACCTGGTGGGCCTGGTGGACCTGTCCCCTCGGCACCCTGCTTCCAGCGGCGCTCGTCGGCCGCGGACGTGGGGCAGGCGGCTGCGCCGGCGCCGTGGCGGGCGCCACGGGCTGCGGCGCAGCGGAGTGCGGCAGCGGGAACGGCGCGGTTGCCGGGGGCGGGAGAGGGGGCGGCTCAGAAGGGACTGGCCGCCTGAGAACAGAAAACCAGTGAAATAATGTGGAAATAATGTGGAATATGTTCTCTCAGAACCTGTTTCTGATGGAAGTTTCAATGATGTCGAATCTCAATCTATTCACTTCAAAGCCTTCAATACGTCCTGCCGTCCAATATTACTTTGAATTCGATGCAATGATGTTTCATACATACATGCTGTGGCGACTTGTCTGGAACATGTGATACGTCAGCATGACGTAGAGTGCATCCATTTGGGCTAGAATATCTTTGCACGCACTTGATCAGACATTGTGAAAGACAGCGAGTTGCTGAAACAGAGAAAAAGTAGGACTCTTGAACACGATTCGAAAGAAGCATGGCATCCACATCTGGAAAATAGCTCAATCTGTGAATTCCACACGCTCGCAACAGTGCCAAATCCATCATGTCACCAAAATGTTTGGGCCGCATGGTCATAGTTGTCCCAACAAAATTGCATAGAATTGCCATGTTGGGGTAAATCCCATCATTTGTGAACAACTCCGCAATCAACATCATTCAACAATGACGAGCTGCTGGCTGAGCTTTGCCCCTCTGGGCCCCGCAGGCGCCCCGGACCCGTCGCGCGGCACGGGCGCAGCTGGCGCAGCTGGCGCAGCCGGCGCGGGCACGGCCGGCGCGGCAGTTCCCTCGGCTTCATCCAGGACGAATCCCAGCCTCGGCAGAGGCTGAATTGAAGGACATCCAAAGGAAACTAAGGAAATGGTGAAGCGAACGCAGCGAACATGTGAAAATCCTATTGATCTATGTGACGTTGCCTATTGATGATATGTTATTCATTATATCATTAGGCAACATAGAATAACATAGTATAGTGCAACAGCGTAACAGGATAATCCAACACCACCTTTTTTCCGATATGTCGATCAATGCCCGTCATCATAAAGCTCACCATCTCAAAGACATGGCACTGAACTCCGGCCGCCAGCAAAGCATGCTCCAAACAATCAGCCCTGACAGTGGCCATACCTGCCAGTGGTGAACATCACAGGGTGGATCTAAACTGTGTTGAAACATGCCTCACAGGCTAGCTGAGCTAGCTGACAGAAAAGTATGAGAGGACTGATGGGACCTTTAAAATCATTTTCGATTGTCGATTAGCAAAGAATCACTGTGATGGTGCTGCCAGAAGGATTTCACCAGCATCCCAGCATTCTGATTTCTGATTTGCTCTGAGTTGCTCTGATTTGCGCGCTTGGATGGTGCCGTGCATCCAAGCATTTGAGGTACTTGGCCGAATGGCCCTTGTAAACGTCTTACTTTTGGACAAATCTGCTTTGATGAGGTTTGGGATTATAATATGATATAGTTGTATATACAGTAATTATTATTTATCTCCTCTTGAACAGCTACTGAACACCGGAACAAAGTAACCAAGACGTGTCGCACCTGGACTTCGATCGTAACCGCGGTGTACGGTGAAGGTTTTCCCTTCCGTCAAACGCCGCTGGATCTCCACGATCCTTCACAACGGCATGTTGCCACATGCCATTGCCACAAAAAAACTGTGCCGTCATTTCCAAGATATGAAAGTCTTCCATCACTCAGATATTCCAAGAATTTCAAACATCAATCTACCAAGAACTCCAAGAATTCCAAGGATTCCGAGGGCTGGGATCCATGTTGAAATCGACTTCCCCAAGGGACTGGCTGCCAGGTGACTTCAAGGCTCCATTCCATTCGGCCAGGGCCACACCTTGGTGAATCGAAGAAACAACTTAGAACACCTCTCATGGTTTATATCTATCTATCTATATATATATATATATACATTTCATATACTCATACCTATTATTTAATATATATATATAGCAATAATATATATATATATATATTATTGTTGCTATATGTGAATAATAGAATTATAGCAATATAATATATGATACTATATGATATATGTGAATATTGGTTCATTGGTTTTGAAGTAGACTAAACCCTCTATGAATCAAGCAACCACTGGGAAAAGGACATCGTTGAGCCAACCTTGCAGCCAAGGCTCTACACTTGATCACTGGTGATCTCATGTTAATCGTCTTCGTCTGGTCACGAATGACGGTAAACTCCTGCAGCACAGACTTGCATGGATTTGTTATCAATGAAGAATTGCAGTACTACGACCAACTACACTAGCTCTGCGAGTTCTTGATTGAACGAGCGATTTTTGTAACCCCACCCTTTTAAATCATGACCCCCAGGGTTTTCGTTGCCTTTTGGTAGGCCTCTCACCCCAGCCCCACCTGATAAGGTTTCGACGCGTTGATGGACTTCTTCAAAGCCACCAGCTTTTGCCGATGTCGTTCCCCTGCCTTGCCCACGGTCGGAATGCCGTCTCCAAGCTTCCAGTCCTCCAACTCTGCCATACCTGGCCAGGCGCCGCAAAAAGCAGCCACAGCGCAGGTCTCGAGGGAGTGGTAAGCTCGGTAGCATGCGTGAGAAAGCCCCTTTTGGATAAAAGGGTCTGCGATTGAGTAAATATTGTACATTATTGTACACTGTTCATCCAGGAGACAACAAAAACCACTACAGTAAATACTCTTGCATGTATTTTCAAGCTGCCGTTAAATCATGATAAATCTGCATTCAAAAATCATTGTCTTAGAAGTGTCTGCCCTTCAGAGCTTGTTATCCTCAACCATGAGGTGGGGATGGGTCAAAACCTTGTACCCCTGGTAAACATCAAAATAGCTTGTAAATGGATGTTCATTCCCCTAAAAATGGCATTTATAGGTATTGATCCATGGCCAGGTGGCACCCAGCCCTTTCAACCCTTTCCTGAACGATCTCAATACCGAGTTACCATCTGGATCTTCCTCTACCAAGATGCGGACCTGACGCAACCATCTGTCAAAATCTTAAGTCTGTTCAGTGGATGTTTTCAAACTACAGAGTAAAACAGAAACACCTCGGCAAACCAAAGCGCTGTGGCCCCCAGCAGCTCCGCCGGAATCGTTGTGAAAGGAGAACTTGTAGGTTTTGGCAGTCCAATTGGCCAGCTCGTCCATGCCTCATCCAGGTGGAGAGTTTCAGTCCAAGACAGGCTCCATCTGGGCTGTACAAAATCCTGACACGCTCCCGCAGTTCACAATTTGTTTATAATTTGTATGGCTCAGAAATGCTGTACTAATCAGCCAGCAAAGATGTTCATTTCTTGTACTTAACCATCCTAAAATGGTGGTCAATAATTTTGAGCCATACTAAATTCTTCGGGCAATCGAACGCTTTTTGGGTGCACCATCCTGTTCTGTAGTCTGCCGGACACTTGCGTCATTGCACTATTGCCCTAGGCAACCGCCAAATGTGGCTACTTGAAATTCATTAGCGCGCTTTAAAGCAAGAGCCTCTTCAGAGCCTTCAAAAGCCCTTTGAACTGCTCAGGTTTGAGACCTTTAAAGGCGCGAAGCTCCTCTCTTGATCATGGTTCACACTTGCCGCACCTGCATGAGTGACTCTGCGTAACAAATGCAGCGCCATGGCGACGCCAGCTGACCCTGCTGATACTTTGGATGCTCCGAAGGTCAATCCCACCACCAATCTGTGGATGTTGGAATGCTTTTTGATCTGATATCCACTGCCGGGCCAATCCTCCTTTTGGGATTTTTGGGCATCTGAGAAAAACTTTGAATTGTTGCTCCAGTACGGGTGTCTGTTTCAAGCGGTATTCGCTCTGAAAAGTCGATGTGGGTCCCACAAGGCTTCTCCCCATTTCCTGAGCCGAACACTCTCGTCGTCAGCAAAGTTTGGCCAAGCTGTCAGTCTTTCAGCTGGCCCAACCAGACAAACCCTGTTTGGCTCGAACCAGTGCGGATGAAATTGAGAAAAACACAAATTGGTAGCGCATGGTAGTGCATGGTAGTGCATTTGAATTGCTTTTTACATCTCAGCACAACTGACTGCTGAAGTGTTTTCTGGCCACCCAAACCCTCGAATTCAAAACCTTATTCCAGATCTATCACCCAGTCACCTAGTTAGTTCGTTAATGTTTGTTCATGTATGTTACATCTGTATGTTACATCTGTATGTTAGTGTTATCTATCGAACATTGATGCTTTGGGCCTCCCGACGCTACTCTGAGGGCAAGTGGCTTCCACCAAGCCCAAAGCCACACTCAATGCAGCACCTGTACACCTGGCGACAAACGAAAAAAACAACACCACCTGCGTTGGAGAATGAAAGCAAGAAGTCGCAGTGTCCAGGTCCAAAGGAAAAACATGGAAAAACCAACAGATCAAGCTGAGCGAAAATCGATGGAATCCGATGGAACATGGAAATCCACTGCATCGTGGCACTGCATGGCAGTTCGCACCTGAAGGGTCTTCTATCATGGCCACCTGGAGGCCAGGCGTCGCGAGAGAGGTCATCCAGCAGAGAGTTCAAGGTGAACCTCACAGATCTCACAGCGAAATCTCAGGACGATTCAGGACGTTCAGTTCGTCACCCCCGGCTCTGCCTCGTTGAACCCTGGGACCGTGTTGCTTTATATGTTTTACTGTTCACATCTATTCACATCCCTAAAAACTGAACAGAGAGAGACGGTACCCGGTAACAAGGCTTCTCACTCTGACAGCTCTGACAGATCCTCAGGAGTGAGGTCCATGCTCACACTCGGCTACTGGCAGCAAAAACCTCCTTGCCAAGAGGTTGAGCTCCGATCCAGCTACCCAAGGGACCCCAAACATCCTCAGAAACATCCCCAGAAACATCTCTAGAACCCTTTATTTTATTTGTCAATTTGCCTCAGATACGGAATCCGAAGCTTCCAAAATCAGAGATACACGAGAGAAATGAAACCAGGGAATGATGATGATCATGATGATGATGCTTCGCAGGTCCTCGCAGCTTGAGCACCCATGGTGCCCCTAGGGTCATTCTTCAAGGCAAAGCCTAATTGATAGGCTACCTGCGGCACCGGATGCAGTAGAGGCAGTCTGAGGCAGTCCGCTTGGTGCATGGGCTTTCTTACTCACCAACTTGAGGCCTAAGGGCCAAAGGGAAGGGGACGAAAGCTAGTTGGGCAAGGAGAGATGTGTATTGAGTATGTGGCGCGAACTTTTTAGTTTCAATTTTTGAACTTAAAATTGGGAAAAAGGTCGCACCAAATCCGTTCACTACACAAACAACCCAGGTACATACATCCACCGAACAAGAAATGTTTGGGAATCTTAAGATATGAATCTTCCATTCCTTGCCAAGACTGGGTCATGTTTCCAACAGTTCGATATGATAGATCATGGAGGCTGCATCCAGTCTACCCCCAATTAAATGCGAAAACAAATCGAACTCCAGCTAGCAAGCTAGCTTTGGTCATTGGAAATACTTCACCACAATGAATGGATCTATATAATGGAGCGCAACCCCAATCAACCGCCATCATTGGGGCTTTGGCACAAACCAGTTCCATTTGAACTTGGGCAGGCAAGTCAAGCCATCCCCAGCGTGCTCCCCACCGTGCCTGCTGAGCAGTGTACTCCTTGCCACCTCGAAAAGCATAGGCCTGGAGCCAAGGGAAGAGGCAAGCCACTTTCAGCACCAGGGGGAATGAACATCGGCCAAGATGTACCAAATTGAATGATTGCAAATTCCTATTGACAAAGTGTCAAGATCACAAACCAGAGCGATCGGTCTCAAGCAGCCGAGTTTTGGGCATGAAGTTGAGCCAAATGATCAATTAAGGATTTGTATTGAAACAGCCAGCAGCACTACATCCAGAAATGGAAGTGAAGAATAAACAACAGTCCATGGCAGGACCGATAGCACCTTTGGCAGAGTGGTCGAGGCCAACTCGTGAACATAGCACCTCATCGAACACCATCAGGTAGCACAACACTGATCCACATCTGGTTCTATGTTCTCATGCGGTCAAAGAGCAAAATATGTAGAGTTATGCAAAATAACGGGACATGTCAAACCAAGCCTGTAGTTCCAAAATTTGATCAATACTGATCATGATAGCCATTATGATCATCATGATATCACCATATGTATATATGGATGGATGGATGGATGCATGGATGCATGCATGCATGGATGCATGGATGGATGGATGGATGGATGGATGGATGGATGCAATGTATGGATGCAATGTATGGATGCAATGTATGGATGCAATGTATGGATATAATGTATGTATGTAATGTATGTAATGTATGTAATGTATGTAATGTATGTAATGTATGTAATGTATGTAATGTATGTAATGTATAAATGTAAATGTAATGTGTAATGTGTAATGTAGGTAATGTAGGTAATGTAGGTAATGTAGGTAATGTAGGTAATGTAGGTAATGTGTAATGTATGTAATGTATGTAATGTATGTAATGTATGTAATGTATGTAATGTATGTAATGTATGTAATGTATGTAATGTATGTAGTGTATGTAGTGTATGTAGTGTATGTAATGTATGCAATGTATGTAATGTATGTAATGTATGTAATGTATGTAATGTATGCAATGTATGTAATGTATGTAGTAGTGTATGTAATGTATGTAATGTATGTTATGTTATGTTATGGTATGGTATGGTAGTATGGTTGTATGGTTGTATGGTTGTATGCATGTATGTATGTAATGTATGTAATGTAATGTATGTAATGTAATGTAATGTAATGTAATGTAATGTAATGTAATGTATGTTACTTATGTTATGTATGTTATGTATGTTATGTATGTTATGTTATGTTATGTTATGTTTTGTTATGTTATGTTTTGTTATGTTATGTATGTATGTATGTATGTATGTAATGTATGTATATAATGTATGTAATGTATGTATGTATGTGTGTATGCATGTCTGTATGTACGTACGTACATATGATGTGTATATGGTCCCGGCTGGCGGCTGGTAACCCCCCATGCTATCCCTCCCATCCTCCCGGTGGCTCTAATCCTTTCATAGTCATCAGCCCGGTCTTTAAAACTGCTCCTGATCCATCTCTGGGTTCACCACATTGCTCCGAAGGTGATGAATCCTACTAAGGCGTTCTGCGGCATCATGGCCAAGGACTGCTGCAAGGAGTCCTGAAAGGAACAACATGGAAGCTTCGCAAGGGTGAAAAAAATTGGGGAACCATTTGAGAGGTATTTAAGGGGCTGGGATTGATTGATGAAAAACCTTTCCTGTGAAGGCTTAAATAAAAAAGGATCCATTGCCTTTCTCTATTCGCAAATGACCACCAACCCCTGTCGGATGATTCTCAATTCAGAGGTATGCAATTCTGCCACCAAGCGGAAGTGACAAGCTCCTTCGCCTGATCCAGCTCTTCTTCAATGAGGGCGATGTCCAAAACAAGTAAAAAAACAGGCCTGGGCCGCGGTACGGTTGCGACACCCAGAAACTCAGAATGGAAAGCCCGGCGAGCCCTATGCAAACCTGGTCCCAGGTCCACTGTACAAGTTGGAGCAACAGTTGACAAGTTTTTTTGCGAGGCAAACGATGGAAAGTCCCTTGTTGGAGTCATAGGCATGGACCACAAGGTTGCAGAATTCTAATTCTGAAAGAGAAACAAGAAATGCGAGCGGTAGCGATGATAATTTGAGGGTCAAACGGCTGACAAACAACTTGAGGAATGATGTACTCAATAGTAGAGCACCTCAGGCAGGTATTGCCACATGTTGCAAACAGTTGCAAGAGAACGTGCAGAATCGACATGTTTCCACTGTGCTGGAGACCCCAGCCATCCAAGTTTCATCACTGTCACAGTCTCAAGCTAAGGCGGTGGCATTTGCAGCAGCTCGGCGGGAAGGTTGGTCTCTGTTATATGGTCGGCATAGTGCCTAAACTAGCAAAAAGATCAACTGCCGCCGGAGGCCAGCAAGAAAGATGGAACCCTGGGGTGCTCAGATGTTTGAAGGCAGATCTGCCATCAGTTTCATTCTGGCTGAAACGGCTGAAGTCTTAAATATGTCTTAAATACCACCATTTAGGATATTGAAAAGAAAAATCGTGAATCTTTCAAGAATCACCTCAACAATGATAGATAGGACTGCCCCATGCCTACGCCTGCATTCGACACCAAGGCAGGCACTGTGGAAAACGATTGCGCTGGTGGCAAAATGGGCACGTCCAACCTTTGCAATTTGGCATCTGAAACCAATCATCTGTTACAATCTGTTACAGTATATGCGGTCAATTCTTCAAAGGGACTGCAACACCTTCCGAGCAAGAACTGAGGGGAGAACTCTTGGAGTGGAAGTCCACGTAGCAGAAAGGGTTGAGCACAGCTCCACAATCTCTTCCCTGGTTTTTTGCTATTTTGACCAATGACATGCCATTCCGTTTTTTTGTGAACCAAAAAAAACTACCTATCACTCTGCGCGTGTGCACACATATCATTTCTATATACACAGGATGTGTATATGTATACATACATACCTGCATCCATGCAAACTATACCATAACACAACATCACTTTGCACTCCTTTCCACTTCATTTCATGACCTTTCCTTTCCTTTTCCTTTCCTTTTCCTTTCCTTTTCCTTTCCTTTTCCTTTCCTTTTCCTTTCCTTTTCCTTTCCTTTTCCTTTCCTTTTCCTTTCCTTTTCCTTTCCTTTTCCTTTCCTTTTCCTTTCCTTTCGTTTCCTTTCGTTTCGTTGCGTTGCCTTGCGCGGCCTTGCATTGCATTGCGTTGCATTGCACTGCATTGCGTGTACATACGGTGTGTGTATGTGTGTGTGTGTGCATGTACATTGTACATATATGTATATAATGGACAGTATGTATGAAATCAATTTAGCGATGTAAACTAACGCAAACAAAAAACAACATTTTTTTTGAGAGGTATTTTTGCTACTAAGAACGTGTGACTCCGTGTCACCCAAAGCTCTTCAATTCCAGAAAAAATGAAAAAAATGGGATCAGCAGCAGCTGTTGTGTCCTAACCGCAAACATCATGGCCTGCCTTGCAAATGACGGGTTCGTACTCCACTAATTGGAGGCCCTCTGTCTCCTTTGAGCGACTTGAAGAGTTTTGCCTTCTCCCCTCTCATCCTACTTTGATTCCCAAACCATGAATCCAGGTTCAGCATGGTTAAGTTTTTTGCATCAAATCGAACCCTTTAGGATTGATGCAACGGAAAATCAGCAAAAAGGACACAAAGTCGGTGAAACAAGGGAAACGTGCACAATGCTGGCGGTCCTTCAGTGGGGTGTACAAGCACCCAAGGGGCACGATGATGCGAGTTGCATCCAATCTGCAACGGAGAACGTTATCAGTTGCCACCACTACACTGTACAAGGGGCACACTGCAATGCATGCAAACTCAAGGAAAACAATATTTGATGAACATGTCCGCTCCTAGAAGGGTTGTTCGTGACAACATTGTCTTTTGCGCAAACGGATACATTTTATGTTTGCATATTGCATTTGTCCTCGTCATTTTCTTCCAAACACCTGTTGAATAGTCAACTACGTACAAATAATGGATTTATTGTCTTATTAACAACGAGTAAACATGTCACTTGTCTCAAACCTTGGGAATGGCATTTGAATCATTGGCGGAGACACCCACACAGCCCCATCCCGAGCTTGCCAAATTCGGCCAGCTGCAAACATCCTGAAACATCCGAAGCACCTTTTCCCACCCAAAAGCCTCGTGCTGGGCCAAATGTTCCATGACATCCGGGTGCCGGTGATCTGTTCCTGCGATCTCACCTTACCAAACAAGGTAACTCTGCCGGTATGTATGGGAAGCAAATTCAACAAATCCACCACTGTACCACAATTTCACGTGGTGAAATTCTGATTATTGTCAGTGCTACTGTCACTGTTATTGCCATTGCTATTTTTTTGCACTAGGGGCCGCACATCCATGTTGCGGAACCCGCGCAGCTGCGCAGCCAGCGCGGGGTGGGCTCACCCAGCCGCCTGCCAAAGTGCAGTGTTAACAGCTGGATTTTTTTTAATGTTGGCAGTTTTCAAATTCGTGATTACACCACACTGATGAAATTTACCAATTCTCAGCGCCTTCCACACCCGAGGCCCCGAAACAATTTTTGTTGCACCCTCAAAGCCAAATCCAACCGGATAAAGCTACAACCAATGTGGCAATGCATTTTCCAGCACCTGACACAAATAACATTTGGCGCAATATTGGTTGAACCTGTTTTCTTTCACCACACATCAAAACATACGGATCAAACCTACATCAAATGATTACAATACGTAATATTCCTCGTTTGGCAAGGCAAATTTTGACGCAAAAATTGTCCCAAAATTATACATAATGATTATAATTTGTGTTCGTTACGACTTTTGTTGTTGTTTTTGGTTTCACATTTGCCTTGTCTGCGCACTTTACAAATTCAAAAATTCGTCAAACAAATTGCAAAACAAACCGTTAAAAAAAAAAAACGAAAAATTCAAGCAACACCTACGCGACTGTATATTCAGAAAAACCATGCTGATTCAGTAATCCGTATTCAAAACTAATGTTTGCAAAAACACAATGCGAATGCAAAAAGAGGCGGATAGTCTTGATGACGGCAAAACATAGTGCTACAGTATACTCATGCGACCGCCCACAACAATTTATTGAAATTAGAAAACAATGTCGCAAAACATTGAGGACGCCAAATTGTGTTCAGAAATGTTGCCGACGGAACTTTAGTTCTAAAACTTCCGAATTACGGACTAATGACTGACTAAATGTCTATGCTGAGCCTTGTCGCATTGTCAACCATTGTGAAACAACAGCCGTAACGCGCGCTGTTTTGTGCCAAAAGGGCCTGGCGATGTTTCATGTCTATGCGAACTGGAATGGATTCCTACACTCACGTCTCGTTTTGTGCGTGTCATCCTTGCTTCCATGACTGCCATGCCACATGCGAGCACTGTTCCAACTCTTTCGTACTCCTCCTCAAAAAGGCTGAGTCTTTGACTTGCCTCTTTTGTAAATTTCTTGGCCTCCATGACAGTCTCTCCAGCGCTTCTTTCTGAAAAGCCATCATTTTGAAAAACCATTGAATTCTCATCCACGCATAATTCCATGAAGGTCCTCCACATACCGTAGGTACGATCCTGCACGGTCATTGTGTCCACGGTTTCGTGCTGACCTGTGCAGTCTCTGAAAAACACTTCTGATTCTCTCAATCACGCCCATAGTCATCCCAACAGGATTTGTTCCAGAACTTGCATCCAGAATTGTAATCAGTGCCTGTTGGATCATTGAGGCGTCCTCCCATGCTTCTCTCGTCAATGCAATGTTTTGTTCTCTCCTCATTGCTTCCATCAGGTTATTCATACCTTCTGTAGATGAAGGTTCAACCTCATCATCTGTCAATCGCTCTTCCTCTGCATCTTCTAAAGGGTCGGTGTCATCTGGTCGATTCCTCTGCATGTTCCATAGGACAAAATTTGCCCTTTCCTGAGTAAACATATGGGTCCTTTGTTGTCCTGTGAGGCTTTGGTTCCTCACAAATCCTCCAAACTCCATCAACCCATAGCGCACAACGTCAGTTGCATCGTCCAAAACAGTCAATGCATCTCTTGTATCATCTGCATTGGTTGCAATGCGATTTGCCAACTGATCCAATCGTTCACCCAGGGCATGGATTGCATCTCTCATCCATGTCATATTATCCAACCTTTCACAAAGCCATGCGGCATACTCATAATGGTCTGCCAATTGAGTTTCAACATTCTCCATGTCTTTTCTCATCTGCATCCATTTGCGCCATACAAACCGGCAAATTGCCGCAAGAAAAATCACCAGGAAAATTCCCAGCATCCACCAAGCATTTGTATCACTGCTTGGCTCTGAACACTGCTGAGCATCTGCAACCACCGGCCCAAGGCCCATAGCAACGCTCATGTTGAAAATCGTCTTGGCTATCCTCTTGATTTGTTGGCTATTGGCGCTTTTCTCCTTTTGCTGTTGCGCTTCTTCCCATCCAACCTCTTCACCAGTTGCAACATAGATTAAACCACTTTCATTCATCAAATAGGAAAGCCTTTGTTTTGCCAAGCTCTTCGTCCCAATGTCAGCCAAATTCACCGCTGTAGGCAGCTGCCTGAGTATCACCAGTTTATCGTTCACCATCTGTTGTACCCACAAAACCTTTCCAGACAAGTGTCGAACTTTTCCAACACCTTGACGACTGGCCAGCTGTCGGGCACTGCTACTGTCTGTGAACTGAACGTGGTGAATATATTCTCCCAGGATAAATTGTGCACATGCTATGATGAAAAGGCCATCGCACATTGAGCTTACTAGGCTATGAAGTTCACTTTCACAGGAAGACAACGAAATTGTTTTCTGAGTTCTGCTGCTGCCGAAGAGGAAGGAATTGTTAAGAAAATGCATACCACACGATGTGCTGCGCCTGTGGGATCGATTTGCACTCCAGTCAGCATCACTGTATGTTTCCAGAACCCAAAAGTGTTCACCATCATTGGAAAACTTTCCTTGACCTGGGAGAGGCATCACAAGTTTTACACCAACGTCACCAACATGCTTCATATACCCCACCAGCTTACGAAGCCGTTGAAGTCCTGTCAATGTTGGGCTTGACATTCCACCAGCCAACTCCTTAATCGTGAACATCAGGTCAGGACGTTCTCGACCAATGTACAGGCACAATCCAACAATTGATCGATATGCTGTAGCGTCTCTTGGGTTCAGCTTTTGAGAAACATCTTCCATCTGAATTTCAGCACTGCATGGAATCTTCTGAGCTCGTGCAACACCAAATGATTCTTCGAAAACCTTCACCACTTTGGAGACACTGATGCCTGGAGTCAGCATCAGCCAATCACCCATATCTGTCACTTTGCGTCTCAAGAAACTCACGCTTGTTCCAACTCCATCCAACTGAGAGTGTGAAATGGAAAACTTCTCACTCATGCGTTTCAGAAAAACATCTTGCCAGTAAGTTCTGCTTCCAACAAACATGATGTCATCCACGTGAATGATGATCGTGCAGCTTTTGTTCCTGGCAAGACACGGTTGTTCTTTGCAAAACTCAAACTCAAGTTCCTTGCTGAGGAAATCACGCAGACATTCATACCAGGCTCGAGCACCTAATCTTTGACCAGGAAGATTGCGTTGTATCACATATTCCTCCCCATGTATGGTCACAAGAATTGGCTCTTGTTGTGCCACTTGCAAAAACGCATCTTTCACATCCAAACAACCAAGCACCACCTCATATGCTTTTCCCTCACTCATTTCTGCAGCCAACTGTTTCTGCCACAGATACTTCAAAGGAAGTAAGTTCGAAGTGTGAGCTCCTGTTGCTGGACTGAATGTGTCCCATCTGCGCACATTTGCAGCAAACTCTCGGGCAACATAACGGGATCTGCGCATCCATCGCTTGACAACACATCCATTGCTGTCAACATAGTCCTTGAGTCGCCAATCTCTCACGAATTTTGTACTCAAACTGCCAGTTACTGCACCATCAAATTGGTTTGCCACCACCAGCACTCCCATTTCTACCAGCCTTTTCACTTCTGTTTGGTCAGCAAGCTCGTCAATCCAAGCAGCTGGCGGTTCTGTCGGTGTAGACTCAACAGGAAAGTCTGCCCACAGTTGTTCTGGAATACCAGTCAGTTGAATCTCATCCTCTCCAATCCAATCATCTTGCTCCTCCTCTAAACCATGCTCAACATCAAGGTCGGTTGAGTAATCATCCATGGTGAAGTACTCTTTGTACTCGATTTTCACTGCAGAAAGTCTGTCTTCATACTCCTGTCTCAAACGGTTAATACGTTGTTTCTTTGCATCTTCAACTCGAGCCCTTTTTGTAGACTCATTCTCATCACCCTCATTGGGTCTTGTAGATGCAGGAACACGGGGACTTTCCAGCTCAACATAGTCACGAGGAGGTGTGACCGGAATCATCAAACCAGGATCTGCAACTGAACTGGGAGCAGCACTAGCTCCTCCTGCCTCACCAATCACCTGAGCAGTTGATGTATCAATGAGAATGTGGTCATCAAAAACCGTAGGATTCACCACTTGTTGTTGCTCTTGCTGTTGTTGAAACTGCAAAGCCAAGGGGTCATTCTGGCCCATCGCAAACTGTTCTTCTTCAGCACGTTTTTCCTGTTCAGCATACTTGATCACTGCCTCAGCTTCTTCATCGTGAAGTTTGCTTCCTTCCACAGGTCCAATGGGAACCTCAAAGCTGACGGCTTTTGGTACCGCCCTTTTCATGGTTGGTAACACCCTTGCTCCAAAGCCAGATTTGTATTGCCATGAGTAGCACTTGCAGTGAAGATAGTAAGCCATGTGGCTTCTCCATGTCGTTTGAATCCTTCTGACGTTCTTTGACAACACCACTGCTTGCCCATCAAACAACACAAAACTGTTCTGGTCCTCTGACTTGCCCAGAAAGAGTGCACGTCTCCACTTGGGTGTAGCTTTTGTCCCAGGGTGGATGAAAGCAAAAACTGGTTCACCATATTCACACAAAGTGCCAGTAAATTGTCTTCCATACGCAAGCTCATATGGGGTGGCTCCATTGATTACTGAAAATCTACTCACCAGAAATGCAGCATGTCTGAGTGCCCAAGACCACAACGCACTTGTTGTTGAAAGCTGAATGCCCAATCGTCCATGAAGATGATGCATCAGTGAGCACGCAAGAGACCTCACACGTGAAATTGCGTTCTCAGCT